ATGAAATTAAATGAAATTGTGTCTGCTCCATAATTCTTCAAACCTTTAAAGGATTTTGATGATACTTGAAACAAACCTTCATATTGTCAGATTTTTTTACACTATTGAAAGACAACTCAAATTACAATGTATGTAAAATCATGATAACTGTAGTGTGTTGGGATGACTCCACTCGTTTTCACAATGAAGCCTCTCTGGTAGGTACTTGAAACAAAAATTCACCACATCCAGAGAACGTGTAGAGTACATGTTTCGTATGGCTGGTTCCAAGGTCAAGGTCTACTTGACACTTGAATGTCATATCATATATAGTTTCACAAACAATAGGGATCATCAGCTCTATAAGACCAATCATCCTATGAAGTTTGAGGGCTGTAGGTCAAAAGGAACTCTAGTTATCATCCGGAAACGAGAAATTGACCAACGGTCACTGTGACCTTGACCTTTGAACTACTGACCCCAAAAACAATAGGGATCATCTGCTCAATAAGACCATTCATCCTATGAAGTTTGAGAGCTGTAGGTCAAAAGGAACTCTAGTTATCGTCCGGAAACGAAGAATGGACGGACGGACTGACGGAAGGACGGACTGACGGACGGACAGCGCAAAAACAATATGTCTCCCCCCAGTTTGAGGGTTGTAGGTCAAAAGGAACTCTAGTTATCATCCGGAAATGAGAAATTGACCAACGGTCACTGTGACCTTGACCTTTGACCTACTGACCCCAAAAACAATAGGGATCATCTGCTCTATAAGACCAATCATCCTATGAAGTTTGAGGGCTGTAGGTCAAAAGGAACTCTAGTTATCATCCGGAAACGAGAAATTGACCAACGGTCACTGTGACCTTGACCTTTGAACTACTGACCCCAAAAACAATAGGGATCATCTGCTCAATAAGACCAATCATCCTATGAAGTTTGAGGTCTGTAGGTCTAAAGGAACTCTAGTTATCATCCGGAAACGAGAAATTGACCAACGGTCAGTGTGACCTTGACCTTTGACCTACTGACCCCAAAAACAATAGGGATCATCAGCTCTATAAGACCAATCATCCTATGAAGTTTGAGGGCTGTAGGTCAAAAGGAACTCTAGTTATCATCCGGAAACGAGAAATTGACCAACGGTCACTGTGACCTTGACCTTTGAACTACTGACCCCAAAAACAATAGGGATCATCTGCTCAATAAGACCATTCATCCTATGAAGTTTGAGAGCTGTAGGTCAAAAGGAACTCTAGTTATCGTCGGGAAACGAAGAATGGACGGACGGACTGACGGACGGACGGACGGACAGGGCAAAAACAGTATGTCTCCCCCCGAGGTGGGGGAGACATAATAATGGTTTAACCAAGATGAGATCTATCTTTAGTTTGTTTATGGAATGAGAAGAGAGGTAACTCTGTAAGTTATATTGAAAATCCTTGCAGAATTGCCTCCCTTCCACTATGTTTCTTTTACAATCTCTTGTAATTCAGAATAGAACAACTTTTATTTTGTAAAAATTTTGTAATTGAATTCTTTTATATGTTATTATGTAAGATTAGGATCCATGCTGTTTGCTAACAAACCCTATTACAACTAAAGAAACTGATAGCGAACAGCATCGATCCTGATCAGACTTTGCCAGGCTGGTCTGGATCCATGCTGGTCGGAAACGCACTATGTTGGCTTGTCATGGCCTAGCTCATTATGTACTGTGAAAGTTAGAGTTGTTAGGCTAAATCTTTCACAATGTTGTCTTGTATTTTTATGCATTTAAATATGAAAATATTAAAAGCTATGCACAATTATCTCCAGATAAGCCAAAATATTTCAAGAAAATGACACTTGAGAAGAACATAAATGCTGTAACATTCTTGTAACAAAATTAATGAACTTGCACTTTTTTTAGACACACCCACACTTTTGAAACCAGTGACAACCCCTGGGGCATTAATTAGAAACCTTATGGTAACAAATCACTACAAATGTATTATTGAAAAATGCACTATTTTACCACTTTAAAACAAATAAAATTGGCTGTTTCACCAATAAGGAACACTCGCACAAAAAAACTTAGAATTTGTAAGAAATGAAAAAAATAATAAAAAAATGTAGGCAAAAAAGAAACAAAAAAAACCAACCCAAAATAATTTTTGAACCAAAATATTTGAGGTATAAGCTGAGTGAGGAAGTAAAAAGTCAAGAAATAAATTATTGGAAGTAGCAAGTCCTGTAACAATCTTTCTATCCCTATTTTTATAATGAACACACCTGTGTCAAACAAAAGGTAGATCATTTCATAAAATTTATGTACTTTCTTGTGCATATCAGACTGGGGTTTCAGTTAGTTTTACCTGTGCCTGAAATTTCATCTGGTATATGGGCAATGCCAGATGATTTGCATGTTATACAATGGCGGCATTTTAGCTCATTTTATCAATGAACCGCTTTCAAATAATGTCACTTTGGCGTATTTAAGAATGAAACAGCATGCTAAGGATGACGTAATTTATCGGCACTATGAACAAAGTTGTCATGTAAGAAAATAACTATAGGGGTAATAATATAAATTTCTACGGAAAATTGTTTTATTGAGGTAAAATTTAAAAAATGATGGAATAAGACTGAATTCGTAAGAAAAAATGTCGACATCAATTTGTGGTTTCGGATCGGAATATCTGTTCTGAGGGGACCCCACAAAGCCTATAAACTGGGATGTCAAATAAAAAAATTCCATTAAATTTTTTATTTTATATTTTCGTTTTTAATATGTCATTTGGTATTTCATGCACCGCTTCTGTTTTCAATCGGAACATCTCAATTATTTTTCTTAAACCAAAAAGTTGCGATGGTTACATTGTCGGTACACCTCGCTGCTTTTTTATCATTGATTTACATTAAAGCAGCACGCCTCCCTGAGATTCATGCTAATTTTCATGAAAATTTGAAAATGTATTTAACAGTTTAATATTGTAAAGTTACCGAAAAAATGCAATTTACGCATTATCATTGACACTTACAACCTATGTAAATTACCATAAAGAGGTCAAAATATGCAAAAATAGCCCTTACTGCGTTAGTAACGCAGTAGAAATATAGTTATAAATACTGAAATATCGGTCATTAATCGCACATAAAATGTAAATTATTGCTAGAATTTTGAATCTTTATACTTTTCCTAAAATCTTAGTACATTTTTCTCAGGTTTGATTTTATCGAAATATTTTTGCTCACCTGGAGGCGTGCAGCTTTAAATAAAGATGGCGACAAACTAGAAATATGACAAGTAATTTCACTGATATGTATAGAAATCTATATATCTTTGAAAAAATTATTTGATTTGATTTGATATACATGTGTAGTCTATAGCCAGGCAAGCGAAAGTTCGGGTCCATTTTGGCGAATCCCGACCTTTGACTTCCTGTATCATACATGTACATACTGAACACTTGACATAGAGGTAATGTATAAGATCATGATCAAAATATCTAAAATATAAAAAAAACAACAAAAAAAACCAAGATGTCTAAAATAGCATGATCCAGGGAACAACAAGATGTGTAGCATACATAATGCTTGAAATAACATGATATCTTGAAATAACAGGACCAAAGGAACAAGAGGATGCCTAGTATAACAGGGTTCTTGAAATAACAAGATACCTTATATAACAGGATCCAGGAAAAAACAGGATGTCGTGCATGACATGATGCTTGAAATAACAAGATATCATTAAATAACATAGTCAATGTAACAAGAGGATGCCTAGTATAATAGGATTCTTAAAATAACAAGATACCTATAAAATAACAGGATTCCAAGGGAACAACAGGATGTCTGAAATAACAGGATACTATAAAAATTTCATGGAAATATTTAAATCTGAAATAACAGGATGCCCGATGTTTAACAGTATAGCTTTAAAAGCAACAGGATATCAAAGTAACAGGGATAAAGAAGTCTGGTTTACCTTTAAAAACAACAAGATATCAAAGTAACAGGATAGTTCTAAGAAGTCTGGTTGATAAAAAAAAAGATATAACTGAAATAAAAGATAAACTTTTAACTAAAATGACAGTATGTCTGAAATAACAGGATATGAAACGCAACAGGACAAAAAGTTTTTGTTATAACATTATTTTGAAAATTAGCTATAGAAGACTAAAATTCACTCTCCTGTAAAACAGGTCTTGTTGTCCTTTGGATCTTGATTTAATTAGCATTTAATGACAATAAAGGTGTCTATAACAGACAAATACTGGATTCAGCAAACTGACAATGAGGGTACCAGTTAATTGACAGCATAATTTTATTAAGTGAAATTTAAGTATACTCAAGGACACAATATCACTCCTATTCCTTTTCCCCCTGAAGTATTTGTCTGTGGAATGGCCTACCCGTGTCCCTTACTAGCTAGTCCCAGTTTAGACCTTTTTATTTGGCAGCTGCATCCTTTTTACTATTGCTTTTAATATTTTATCTCAGTCTTGAAGTTGAACTCTTTTAAATTGCTTTTATATTATACCTATAAATTTGCACTTAACATATTTGTTTTTAACAGCTATTCCCAGACAATGTGTAATCGTTAACGATTTTGAAGCAGTATTATGTAGATGGTTAGTTGTGGTTTCATCAAACCGACTGGGTGGGGTTTTTATAAGTAAAATGTAAGTGAGGGACCTGACAAGTAGGGTTTGAGTAAAACAAGTAGGGTTTGAGTAAAACAAGTAGGGTTTTAGTAAAAGAAGTAGGGTTTAAGTAAAAGAAGTAGGGTTTTAGTAAAAGAAGTAGGGTTTTAGTAAAAGAAGTAGGGTTTTAGATAAACAAGTAGGGTTTTAGTAAAAGAAGTAGGGTTTTAGTAAAAGAAGTAGGGTTTTAGTAAAACAAGAAGAGTTTTAGTAAAACAAGTAGGGTTATAATAAACTAAACTTTTAAAAGGTTTCAGCAAACTGATAGGGCAGTTTCAATTAATCAGTATTGATGGGACCATGATAAAAAGACAACAACGGTTTCAGTAAAATTGACATAAAGGTTTCAATGAAATATAGCACAGTAATATAACAAACTTTCATTTAACATACAAAGAATACATAAGTAAACTAACAACCAGGGTTTTAGAAAATTGTCAATAAATATTTTAATAAATAAACTGGCAAACTGTGTTTCACTAAGTAATAAAGAAGGTGTAAGTAAACAGGCAAGGTTTCAGTAAATTGACAGAGGTTGCCATTTAAATGACAGCAGTTGTAAAGTGACTGACAAAAATGGTTTCAGCAGACTGGTTTTCTGTTTACTGAAAGTAGTTTCAGTAAAATGATGGAAAAGTCGATAAGAGGGTTTCAATTAACTGACAGAGTGGTTTCAGTAAAATTATGAAAAAAGGGTAAGTGTTTCTGGTTACTGACAGTTAAGTTTCAGTAAAATGATGGAAAAGTCAGTAAGAGGGTTTCAATTAAATGACAGAGTGGTTTAAGTAAAATGGGTTTCTGCTCACTGACACAAACAGTTTGTAAGCTGACAAAGAATCAACTAAAAAAACACTAACAAAAGAGGGTTCAGTCATACATTAAAGTAATTCAATGGGTGTAAAAATCTTTCAGGTCTGTAAAAAACAATGCAGAAAAAAAAAAAACGACAAAAAAAAAAAAACCCAAAAAAAAATTCAGTACATGTACATAACACATCTATTAAGAAATCTGTCATGGAAGCATAAGTGTTGTTATGGCAATCTTATCAGAACAAATATTTACAAAAAATATTGATGTAGCATATAGGTGGACAATTATACTCACACACATATATTATTAGTTATAAAAATTTTTGACAGGTTATATGGCCCTATATAAACGGCTGTTTGTAAATATAACCCGAGCCGCTAACAAATTTATAATACAGCAAGCATCATTTTTAAGAGAAAAAGTAAGATTTCTTCATGAATCGACAGCAGCCGTGTATATAAAACTATATAAACGTCACGATTATCCAATGAAAAATGACGTTACAAACGTGCAGTATTATAATGTCACCTTTTTGCAGTAACGAGTTAACTCCATATAATTATAAAATAACATGAGTTGAAATCGTAAATTCATAAAGTTGAAATCATGATCCTGTATGTTGTAATTGAGGTTGTATACCACACTAAGTTAAATTATGTATATGTACATGTATATAATTATGCTTATTAATCAATTTTCAAACATCCAAGAATATGTAAAATATGTTCTGCAAATATTTGTACATAATATATGTAATCATTAAAATATATGCATTTATTTCTTATTGTAAAATTTAACTTAAACTTTATAGAAAATAAATTTTTCATTACCTCCCTATATTTACATGAAATGTTAAATTCGGTAATATCTTAAAAAATTTGACTTAGACAATAGAAAATAATTTTTTCATTACCTCCCTTTATTTAAATGAAATGTTTAAATTCGGTAATATCTTTATAAATAATGCTTTTTGGAACTTACAAAATTGATCAATCTTAATTTAAGCATCATATTTATGATATAAAACCATAAAAAAATTGTGTTTCCGGATCTTTTACCCGTTACTGCACAAAGGAGACCAAATATCCTTACAACTCAAAAGGCACGAAATAGATAACTTGTCACTTTAGTGCAATAACAGATTTAACTCCTTATTAAACTTTTTAAACCCATTCCTACAATGTACACTAGGATGAATAACACTTAATTATTTTGACATACACACAAAAAAGAAAATCCTTTTTTTTAAAATCACATAAATCTAAAAATAAATATATTCAAAGCATGTATGAACATCTGCTGTCATCATTACGATGATTCTACATCTTCTGATAATAACAAACAAAATCTTGAACAAAAGCATAATAAATTCCGTGGTTGCTAAGTTGCTAAAGTCAGTGGGTTTTCTTTTACCAACAACAAATTCTCTTGACATTCCATATATATATATGAGCCCTGCCATGACAAAACCAACATAATGGGTTTGCGACCAGCATGGATCCAGACCAGCCTGACCAGGATCCATGCTGTTCCCTATCAGTTTTCCTACTGGTAATAGGAATTGTAAGCGAACAAATCCTGATCAGACTGCGCGGATGGATCCATGCTGGTCCCAAACCCATTATGTTAGTTTTGTCATGGCGCGGCTCAATTATATATAATATTTTTATATGCATACCTCATAATATACCATATACCCCTAGGGAAAGATGTAATTTTGTCTAAAAACATTAGGCCAAATATTTACCAATATAAACGTCCCCATAAACAAACAGAGAACATAAAAAATCCTTTTAAAAACCGTCCAGAGGAGCAAAACTGAAAACTGTTGCAAGCTTTGTTTTTGATTGAGCCCGTTCATGGACATTTCAAACATTTTAAAAAGAAAAAAAAAATGGGGTCACCATTCTCATTTTCGAGTTATCTGCCCTTGAATTGGACTTTTTCGTTCACTTCAGGGGCAGATAATTTACAATGAAGGGAAAAAATACATTTTTTTCTTCTTATTTTCAAGAAGCTTACCTTCGTCTTAGTCAATATGCAAAATTTCAAGAATGAATTTAGAGTGGATAGTTTTTTACTATTTCTTCTCTTTACCTGTGCATCTTTTCTTATAAATTGGCCTATATTTTTTTTAAATTTAACATACCTTTATTTTCATTGAAAAAAATTAACAGAAACGATATAAGGAATAGCATGTTATTATGTATTGTATTCAACAATAAAAAGAAAAATATTATCCAGAAGTAAAAACAAGAATTCATTCACGTTTGTATACATTATCTGCCCTTTAAATGACCTCAAAAAAGCAGAAAATTCTGATTCAGGGGCAGATAACAACAAGAATGGTGACCCAAATTTTAAAAAGTTTCTGTTATCATATTCTATCAACATGCCAAGTTTAAAGAAATTCTATAGAACAGTTTTAATTTTGCCTATATGTCTATTTGAAAACTCCCGAAAACGTCCTTAAACAGGGGTATACGGTATATAAGCATAAATTTACAACTTACATACAAATTACAACCCATTCAAAGAAAAATAGCCAAATGAACTCTGTTATTATATAATCACAACTTTTAATGCATTTACTGAGGCAGAATAATAGTACATATACACACAAATATACCTTGCAATAAAAATCTGTTACAAAAATATTGTAAATAATCGTAAAACGTTCAACTGTCCATTTTATTTCTTATAAATTATATATCTATCTATTACTATGTACAGATCATTCTTTTGAACATTTGCATTTTTTTTTTTTACATTCAACCAATTATTCAACACAAATGCTGCCTTCCCTTGCTTCCTTTGACCATCTTCAGCATATAGGATATTGAACGAGTGTAGGTTTAATACTAAATTTACTGAACGCGTTGAATAAAATCATATTATGCCAGCCTCTGGCGAGCATTATATTGTTTTATTCAGGAGTTCAATAAATTTAGTATTGAATCTACACAAATATATATTATTTATCACATATCTTAAATCAGAACAGTAAACTGTTACAAAAAAAAAAAAGAGTCATTTTTTTCATTGACGCATCTACACTGTAACGCTAACATTTAACGCAATTTTACACTATGTCAGCATACAACGCAAATGATGTCAACTTCCTTTACCGCCACACTTCTTAGTAAGAAATGAAAATTTACACAACAGATTTTTTTTCACATTACTTCATACTGAGCCCTTTACATGATGAATAACACTGGCTTTTGCCCTATACCTATCTTAATTGCATATTTCCTTTGCGAGGCCGTCTTTTTTTTCTAGCCATTTTTAACTTCACTATAACTTGTTTCGAGACAAAAGAACTCTGGCAAAATTCAATTTCAGGTAAAACTTCCTGTAGTCAAGTATTAATTCAGACAAACACCTCCCTCTTCAATCAAATTCAAGCAGTTCCTGTTATCTGCTATGAATTTAGGCAATTCCTGTTATCTGCTATGAATTTAGGCAGTTCCTGTTATCTGCTATGAATTTAGGCAATTCCTGTTATCTGCTATGAATTCAGGCAATTCCTGTTATCTGCTATGAATTCAGGCAGTTCCTGTTATCTGCTATGAATTTAGGCAGTTCCTGTTATCTGCTATGAATTCAGACAGTTCCTGTTATCTGCTGTGAATTTAGGCAATTCCTGTTATCTGCTATGAATTCAGACAGTTCCTGTTATCTGCTATGAATTCAGGCAATTCCTGTTATCTGCTATGAATTCAGACAGTTCCTGTTATCTGCTATGAATTCAGACAGTTCCTGTTATCTGCTATGAATTCAGGCAGTTCCTGTTATCTGCTATGAATTCAGGCAATTCCTGTTATCTGCTATGAATTCAGGCAATTCCTGTTATCTGCTATGAATTTAGGCAATTCCTGTTATCTGCTATGAATTCAGGCAGTTCCTGTTATCTGCTATGAATTTAGGCAGTTCCTGTTATCTGCTATGAATTTAGGCAATTCCTGTTATCTGCTATGAATTCTGGTACTGTTTTATCTGCTGTGAATTCAGGCAATTTTTTTTTATCTACTGTGAATTCAGGCAATTTTCATTATCTGTTGTGAATTCAGGCAATTTAAATCAACTCAGATAAAACACTTAACATTACAACCCTTCTCTTACAAAAACTTAAATTCCAGAAAATTCTTCTGTGAATTCAGGCAATTCTTTTATCTACTGTGAATTCAGGCAATTTCAATCGTTTAAGATAAAACATTCCTTAACATTACAACCCTTATCTTACAACAGTTTTAAACTCCGGAAAATTCTTCACTAGCTACAATTAAACATCAATTCATAGAACCACTAGGATCGTCTATTCAGGCAACTGCGTCTAAACATTCCATCGGAACATTTTTTACGTCTACAACATTTTCGTCAGGATCTCTCGGTGATTCCGATTGATCGTTAAAGTTAAAATTCTGCGCTTCGTTAACCCATGACTGTGTACGGTGCTCCTTGAAATCTTTGTCTACGCCAGATTTAGTTTTTATCGACGGCAACATTCCGGGCTTATCTACACTTTTCAAATCAAGTTTCCGATTGTTTTTATCACCGGCTAAACCGCTACTATCGCCTAACGTACGCGAGGAATGAGTTGTTTTTGACGAATGCGTCGACATCACGTCCTCGCCGTTTTCCATGGTTTTTGAAGAATGTTGCGAGAGTATCTCCGTCAGATCAAAATGGTGGACTGAATCGATAAACGTCGGCAAGGCTTCAACAGTGTCGCCACCCTCGTCTGTCGGACCGTCTTCACTGTCGGAGTCATCGTTAGAGTCAAAGTCCGACCCACTATCACTTCCCTGAATATCCGTATCACCTAAATTCACCTTACTTGCATTGTCAATGTCTGCGGCAATTTCTACATCATTATCTACAACAACCTGCCCAGATACACCCAATTCACCCTGAACTTTCCTTACAGCTGCCGAACTGTTCACTGTGTCACCAACTACGCCATTTTTCAAACTTTCATCAAAGTTATTCCCATTTACATCAATATCTTCTTTGTCAAGAGGATCCGCCATCTCAATACCAGATTCTACACTAGTGTTATTTTTAATATTTTCAGAATAAACTTTTTTCGATTTTTTCGCCTTATGCGAATACCCTCGTTCATCGTCTGCCTCATAGGCATCTTCTCCCTCGTCGTCGAACCTTTCAGCCCCATCCTCAATGTCTTCACCACCTTTTTCTATTTCGTAACCTCTATTGTCCGTCTCCGGTTCAGAATGGGGGTAATTTTCGGAAATTGGTTCAGATAAAATGCTTGACGTAAACGAAATAACGCTGCACCCGCTGGGTGTGCGGGAATGTCCCATGTGAGCAAATATATGAGGCACACCCGGAACGGACGACCTAGGTGGGTGATCGGCCATCTCTTTCTCAATCTGAACTATCATCTCACGATATGCGTCTCTCGCTTTTTCTGTTAACGCAACCAGGGACTTGAAATTTTCCTGAAATACAGAAAAGTACATGTTTATCGATATTTTTTTTCTTGTTTTGTTTTTTTATCATCGTTTAAAAGTTTTAGGCCACTCACTCACAATAATAATCATATGGCGATCACACTCAAGTACATAATTATGTAAATTGTCTAGCTTTTAGTGAAAGTCCACCTCAGGTGCCCCTTCGTGCAATGTCGAGCAGTATTGGACAATCCAGAGGAGATCACCAACCTTTTGTAGTGTTACCAAGCTATAAGGCTTCTTCTAATGAGGGGAACCAGAATCTCCTTTCTTTGTTTTCCCGTTTTAGCCCTAAGCTTCAATAAGGTTATTTGACATGTTAGGACTGGAAATATTTTTTCGGAGTTTTATACTATTTGATATAGGTCTATACCAATAATATGTGTGCAAAATTTCAGATCATTCTGTCACTCTGATTTTTTTTTTCTTCTCAGAATGATCCTTTTTTCTGTACAAATTGACCTTAACATGAAAAGTGTTTTTAAACGCTTTTAAAATGACTTCACTGAGGATTTTTTTGACACGGCAGGAAAATAATTATTTTTCAAGATATTTCAACCATTTGAAGTACAGCTGAATCTAAAATATTGTAACTTTCAGTTTTAGCAAGGAAAGGGTAAAGTCTAACAAAGTAACAGCCATTTGATTGTTGAAGTGCCTTGTTTAATGTGACATTAAAATGCCCATCCAAATGTATATAGTGAGTGAACTGGTGAATGTCAAAACAAGTTTACATTTTGCCATAATTCCTTTCAATTTTATAATTCACTTTGCATGTGAATGATAAATAACTCACATGGCCCAAGGAAATTTCTATAAACAGTAATCGGAATTAGTTTAATTTAGGGTTCAATTTATAAAAGAGTGGAGCAATCTTTTTATTGTTTCAGGCGAAATTTATAATTTTTCCCAATTATTTCCAATATCATTTGTTTGTTATCCAAATATTTCTATCTTCATTTGGAGAAATTCACTACATTTAAGGCAGATGTATAGATTGTTTGTTTGTTTGTTTCATTTTACGCCTTTTCCCAACAGTATTTCAGTCATATAGGCGGGTAGTTTCCTAACCATCGTTCCTGGAGAGTTACACCAGTACTAGACTACCTTTCTCCGTGCAAAACTACCAAAGCATCTCCCGGGGATCGAACCCACGCCAGAGAGGTAACTGGATTAGAAGTCATCGACTCTAACCCCTCGACCACGGAGGCGGTCAGATGTATAGAATGGCGCCATGATATTACCATCTCGGGTATATCTTTACACCTGGTTGGAGTATTCAACATCTTAAACAAAACATGTCCTGAATACAAAAACAATCTAAGTCCCTACATGGCATAACAGAAACACTTTTTTAAGAACAAGCATAAATAAAACTGAAAATTCCACCCCCCCTCCCCCACAAAGGATAACTAAAACACTTTCTAAAGCACAAGCATCAATAAAACTGAAAAATTTAGGCCCCTACAAAGCATAACTAAAACACTTTTAAAGAAAAAAGCATAAATAAAACTGACCTCTGACCCTTCATAGTTGAACACACCTACTACACTGACTGGCACTAATTTTGCGCATGCCCGTCCCAGGGCCCTACGTCCAAGGGCAAAGATGAATGGCACTTTTTGATCGTTACAGAGCTCCAGAATCAAGTTTAAAGCATCGTCCAGACCACCTGGTAGTCAAAGTAGGTCAATAATAAGAAAAAACTCGACATAATGATTTCTTTCAACAGTAAAATAAGAAACAAGTCTTTCGTTTGTTTGTTTCATTTTATGCCTTTCCCCAACAGTATTTCAGTCATATAGGCAGGTAGTTTCCTAACCATCATTCCTGGAGAGTTACACCAGTACTAGACTAACTTCCTCCGTGCTAAACTACCAAAGCATCTCCCGGGGATTGAACCCACGCCAGAGAGGTAACTGGATTACAAGTCATCGACTTTAACCCCTCGACCACGGAGGCGGTTTAAAAAAAAAGTTTTTAAAAATAAACATGAGAGCAGTCCCCATATAACAATGGGTTTTGAAAATTACTTTCTTCACTTGTAAAACATTTAATATGCTCTAAATCCATTATTTAAACATTATTAAACATGTGTTTGACATTTCTAAATAATTAAAAAATATGAACTGTGCCTTTAAATAAATTCATAGTCATAACAAGGAAAACACCTGTCAATTAAATTATCTAATTAAATTTTTGACAAACCTTTTGATTGGATTTTCTCCAGGTTAGGGGAGATAATTACACATTTGATTTTTCTCAGCTTAAGATGTTTGGTTACCTCCCTTAGACCAAGCACAAATCTTCGCTTTGCTTTTGCCTGAAATTTGAGGCAAAAAAATAATTTGAGCCGCGTCACGACAAAACCAACATAATGGGTTTGCGACCAGCATGGATCCAGACCAGCCTGCGCATCCGCGCAGTCTGATCAGGATCCATGCTGTTCGCTATCAGTTTCTCTACTTGTTATTGGGTTTGTAAGCGAACAGCATGGATCCTTATCAGACTGCGCGGATTCGCAGGCTGGTCTGGATCCATGCTGGTCGCAAACGCACTATGTTGGTTTTGTCATGACGTGGCTCATTTAGAAATATATCTAATTATCTATTTAAATTTTTTATCCATTCTATGTGACGAGTTTAGCTGAAATATTTTCATATAATTATTTATTACAAATCTGTGCCACTTTAGCGTCTCCGTAAAAAAATGGTATTGCACGGCCGTGCATATACTTTGATGTGATGTCATTTGCGTTATATAAACATAGCGTAAAGATGCATTAAATGTTAAGAGTTACACTTTTAAATTTTCATCCCAAAAACTAATGGAGGGCAGTTCCAAAAATGGATGCTGGAAAAATACCATTTAAGAAATTCAGCCTGTTATGAATTAATGATTGAGTTGTAATTAATATGCCAATTAAACTATGTAAATTAAATGTGCCAATTAAATATGCCAATCAAAAACAATTTGTAGTTACCTTCACAGGATCTTTATGGTATTGTTTATCCTGGAATCTAACAAGATCTTGTAACAGGGCCGTCACATGATTATCTATCTCTTTATCTAGCACTTGATTGCAGTACCTGAAAGAAAAGAAAATTGGTCAAAGACAGAAAAGGCCAGGTTGCTGAAAGAAAAGACTAGAACTCCGCGAGTCGGATGTGTCGCCTTGTGAACAATGTAGTTTTGGAGAAATGGCCAGGACAAAAATGAAATATGAAAAATAACAAAGGGCAATAACTAAAAAAATAATAAGTGCAGAGCAGCAGTTTCTGTACACTGCACTTCTTATCAATAAGATCTATCATTCTATGATTTTTCAAGTCCATAGCTTTCATACTTGAGGAGAAATGACCAGGACAAAAATAAAGTAAGAAAATCAACAAAGGGCAGTAACTCAAAAATAAGAAATGCAGAGTATCAGTTCTTATGCACTGCACTTCTTTTTAATGAGATCTATCATCCTATGAAGTTTCAAGTCCATAACTTTTATACTTTCGGAGAAATGGCCTGGACAAAAATTAAGTATGAAAATTAACAAAGGGCCATAACTCAAAAATTAAGAAATGCAGAGTACCGATTCTTGTGCACTGCACTTCTTAATAATGAGATCTATCATCCTATGAAGTTTCAAGTCCATAGCTTTTATACTTAAGGAGAAATGGCCCGGACAAATTAAAGTATGAAAATAAACAAAGGGCAATAACTCAAAAAAATAAGAAATGCAGAGTACCAGTTCTTGTGCACTGCACTTCTTCTTAATGAGACCTATCATCCTATGAAGTTTCAAGTCCATGGCTTTTATACATTAGAAATGGCCCGGACAAAAATAAAGTATGAAAATTAACAAAGGGCAATAACTCAAAAATTAGGAAGTGCAGAGTACTGGTTCTTGTGCACTGCACTTCCTAATAATGAGATCTATCATCCTATGAAGTTTCAAGTCCATAGCTTTTTTAGTTGAAGAGAAATGGCCCGGACAAAATTGAAGTATGAAAATTAACAAAGGGCAATAACTCAAAAAATAAGAACTGCAGAGTACCGGTCCTTGTGCACTGCACTTCGGGTTATTGAAAGAAGCATGCATACCAAGTTTGAAGTCATTCAGACTGAGTTATGCTCCGGACAAGCTTTAGGGGACGCAGACAACGACGCAGACAACGACGCCGACAACGACGCCGCCGCCGACACCGCCGACAAAAGTAACCCCTATATGTCACCTTTTCAAGGCGACACAAAAATTGGTCAAACACAGAGAAGGCTGGGTTGCATTTGTATACCAAATATCATGAGGCTGTGATGTTACAAAAAATGTTTACCATTGAACAATAATGTCAAAAATTTAACTAGTTCGGTAAACAGGAAGAGAATGAGTGGCAGATCTGAAATTGAATTTCACAGTATGGGACCACGTCAATGCTGTATGCTAAATATAAAGAGGCTGTGATAAGTAGTTGCTGCCTGCCTCCCATCATTCACCATACTATAAAATAGTTGTTTTTTGTCCGTTTTTTAACACCTGAATGTCAACACTTTTTTATGCCTAAGCAAACATTTTTTGTTTTATTCTTTGAAACAGACTTTAAAGTCCCCTTTTTTCATATATTTTTACATTCAGTCCCTTCTTAGATACAGACTTTATAATTTTCTTGTTTGATTTTTTATTTTACATTTTTGAAACAGACTATAATTCTCTTGTCTAATCAGAAAAACAGACTTAATAATAATATTGTTTCATTTTAACCTTCAGTTTTGTGAAATAGACCTTATAATTTGTTGAATTACATGTTTTACCTTTCATTTTTTGAAACAGACTTTTATAATGTTTAATCACATTTTTTTACCTTTCTCTCTTTGAAACAGACTATATAATTTGTTAAATCACATATTTTTATCTTTCTTTTTTTTGAAACAGACTATTATACTTACTCTCTAAATCTTCTGCTGTGAATTTTTAACTTGACCGTCTGCTGTATAGCTCCAGTAACTGGACTGTTAACCCCAGACGAGAGGGGGCTCGCACCCGGGCTCATCGGGCTCATACAGCTTGGAGACTGTTGACTAATGGGCGACAGTTCGGCACTCGCTGGGGTCCCGAGACCCACTTCCATCGATCCTTTAAAACTTGCTGCAATTCACAGAATAAGAATATGAATAAAACATGTGGACAAACGCCCATGAAATATTTGGTAACATTTTGGTATTTTACACACTAGGAAAAATAACTAAACTTCAAGAAACATCTACAGTTATTTTACCTTTGACATGTTGAATTTCTTAAATAGACTTGTCTGTCTTCTGTTTCTTAAACTGTCCATTACACATAGAGGATATTGAATGAGTGTAGGTTTAATACTAAATTTATTGAACGAGTGGAATAAAATCATATTATGTGAGTGTCTGACGTCACGTCTTTGTGTTATTACACTAGTGTAATATCTTGTTTATTAAATGGCTTTATTACAATCCTGCAATGCGGTTTATGTGATAAAAGTAATTATCAGGGATATGACGATGAAAGTTTTAAGCCGGTCACCCAATGGTATAGAGTCGGGCTAAAGAAAAAGAGCAAAACTGGCCCAGCAATATACTGGTTGCACTGTATTTTTACTGTGGTACCAAACGCAGTAAGGGCTATTTTGCATAATTTCAGGCATAAACGTGCGCCCGAGTAGATCAACCAACGACATTCCGGAGCTAGCAGGTTGATCTTATAACTGATTATTTAAGGGTAATCTAACATAATTTTATGTCTGTTTTGTTTGTTTGTTTGTTTTGCGTTTTACATCACATTGACACAGTATAGGTCATTTGGTGACATTCCAGCTTTACTGGTGGAGGAAGACATCAGGTGCCCTTCTGTGCATTATTTCAGGCACAAACGGGCACCTGAGTAAAACCAACCGACGTTCCGTAAGCTAGCTGGATAGCTTCCTCTCATGAAAGAATCCAAAGTCCCTGTCTGGTATCGAACCCACAGTGGTGAGGGGCAAGTGGTTTGAAGTCAACTACCTAAACCAATCGGCCACGGACGCCCCAACAAGTAATTATGTAATGCTCAAAATAACAAAATCTTATTTTCATAAAAACTTTATCTTTTAATTTATAATTCACTTTGATACAATAGAGATCAATTATTGTCCTTTTTTTCCTACCAACACATGTATAAAACTACTCACTGTCTTGTGATAGGTCTGATTCTCCTCCACTCACAACACCAATGCCAAGTCTATCTCAGTTATAAGACTGTCTCAGTTATAAGACTATCTCAGTTATAAGACTATCTCAGTTATAAGACTATCTCAGTTATAAGTCTGTCTTGGTTATAAGTCTGTCTCGGTTATAAGTCTATCTCAGTTATAAGTCTGTCTTGGTTATAAGTCTGTCTCGGTTATAAGTCTATCTCGGTTATAAGTTTATCTCAGTTCTAACACATGTATAAAACTACTCACTGTCCTGTGACAGGTCTGATTCTCCTCCACTCACTACACCAATCCCAAGAGGAGCACTGAAAATACATAACGTTAATGATAATACAAATTTTCTCGATTAGTAAAATTCCCAGTTTTTCTGAATGTTTCGCTTATAAGACTATCTCAGTAAGACTATCTCAGTTATAAGTCTATCTCGGTTATAAGACTATCTCGGTAATAAGACTATCTCAGTTATAAGACTATCTCAGTTATAAGACTGTCTCAGTTATAAGACTGTCTCAGTTATAAGACTGTCTCAGTTATAAGACTATCTCAGTTATAAGACTGTCTCAGTTATAAGACTGTCTCAGTTATAAGACTATCTCAGTTATAAGACTGTCTCAGTTATAAGACTATCTCAGTTATAAGTCTGTCTCAGTTATAAGTCTATCTCAGTTATAAGACTGTCTCAGTTATAAGACTGTCTCAGTTATAAGACTGTCTCAGTTATAAGACTATCTCAGTTATAAGACTGTCTCAGTTATAAGTATGTATCAGTTATAAGACTGTCTCAGTTATAAGTATGTATCAGTTATAAGACTATCTCAGTTATTAGACTATCTCAGTTATAAGACTATCTCAGTTATAAGACTGTCTCAGTTATAAGACTGTCTCAGTTATAAGACTGTCTCAGTTATAAGACTATCTCAGTTATAAGACTGTCTCAGTTATAAGTCTGTCTCAGTTATAAGTCTATCTCTGTTATAAGTCTATCTCAGTTATCACTCTGTCTCAGTTATAAGTCTATCTCTGTTATAAGACTATCTCAGTTATAAGTCTGTCTCAGTTATAAGACTATCTCAGTTATAAGACTGTCTCAGTTATAAGACTATCTCAGTTATAAGTCTGTCTCAGTTATAAGTCTGTCTCTGTTATAAGTCTATGTCAGTTATAACTCTGTCTCAGTTATAAGTCTATCTCTGTTATAAGACTATCTCAGTTATAAGTCTGTCTCAGTTATAAGACTATCTCAGTTATAAGACTGTCTCAGTTATAAGTCTATCTCAGTTATAAGACTATCTCAGTTATAAGTCTGTCTCAGTTATAAGTCTGTCTCAGTTATAAGACTATCTCAGTTAAAAGACTATCTCAAATATAAGACTGTCTCAGTTATAAGTCTGTCTCAGTTATAAGTCTGTCTCAGTTATACGATTATCTCAGTTATAAGACTATCTCAGTTATAAGTCTGTCTCAGTTATAAGTCTGTCTTGGTTATAAGACTATCTTAGTTATAAGTCTGTCTTGGTTATAAGTCTGACTTGGTTATAAGACTATCTTAGTTATAAGTATGTCTCCCTTATAAGACTACCTGTAATTAAAATGTATTATCATATGTATGCCTCGCTTATAAGACAATCAGAGTTATAAGTCTGTCTGGATAACAAGACTATATCAATTAGTAGTCTGTCTCAGTTATAAGACTATCTTGGTTATAAGCCAGTGTCAGTTTGAGTTATAAGACTTGTCCTTAATTATTAAATCATTAGCACTTTTTATCTTGCCTCTCTCATTACTTAAGGACCTACTTACATAAAAGGACAATCTTATGTATAAGACTCACACTCGCATAAGACTACCTGATCTATTAGACTTAAACTCTTCCATTAGACAATCTCTCTTATTAGACTTCCTCATGTATAATACTAACACTCTCATAAGACTATCTCATCTATTAGACTTAAACTCTCCCATTAGACAATCTCTCTTATAAGACTTCCTCATGTATAAGACTAACACTCTCATAAGACTATCTCATCTATTAGACTTAAACTCTCCCATTAGACAATCTCTCTTATAAGACTTCCTCATGTATAAGACTAACACTCTCATAAGACTACCTGATCTATTAGACTTAAACTCTCCCATTAGACAATCTCTCTTATAAGACTTCCTCATATATAAGACTAACACTCTCATAAGACTATCTCATCTATTAGACTTAAACTCTCCCATTAGATAAGACATCCTCATGTATAAGACTAACACTCTCATAAGACTACCTCATCTATTAGACTTAAACTCTCCCATTAGGCAATCTCTCTTATAAGACTTCCTCATGTATAAGACTAACACTCTCATAAGACTACCTCATCTATTAGACTTAAACTCTCCCATTAGACAATCTCTCTTATAAGACATCCTCATGTATAAGACTAACACTCTCATAAGACTACCTCATCTATTAGACTTAAACTCTCCCATTAGACAATCTCTCTTATAAGACTTCCTCATGTATAAGACTAACACTCTCATAAGACTACCTCATCTATTAGACAATCTCTCTTATAAGACATCCTCATGTATAACACTACCTCTCTCATAAGACTATCTCAATTACAAGCATTTCTAGATAAGAATATAATCTCTCTTAAATGGCAATCTCACAAATAAGATTAACTCTGTCATAAGAATTTTAAAACTAAAAGACTACCTTTAAAATAACCTTTATCATAAAACTTTCTCACTTATAAAACTAATTCTCTCTCAAAAGACTATCTAAATTATAATTTTATCTCTATCATTAAAGGGCTATCTCACTTATAAAAACATCACTCTAGGAAAACCTTCTCATCTAGAAGACTATCTCTCTTTTAAGACTTTCTCAAATGTAAGACTTATCTCTCATAAGAAAAGCTCACTTTAAAGATCCTGTAACTCAAATTGTTTATGGTTTTATGTCATAAATATGATGCTAAAATGAAGATATATCAATATTGCAAGTTCCAAAAAGCATTATTTGTAAAGATATTACCGAATTTACATTTCATGTAAATAAAGGGAGGTAATTAGAAATTTATTTTCTATAGTCTAAGTCAAATTTTTCAATAAGAAATGAATGCATATATTTTAATGATTTCATTTAATAAACATTTGCAGTACATAATTATTTAACATATTCTTGGATGTTTGAAAATTGTTTTAGAAGAATAATTATATTCATATAAAAAATTTTACTAAAGGATGGTTACATCAATAAATACAACAAACAGGATCTTTAAAGATAAACTCTCTCAATTATGACTGTCCAAATGGTAAAGATATATTTTCTTATTTGACTAAAATCTTACAGCTCATTCACTCAGTTTCAAACAGTAAAATTTGTTTGTTTGATTGGGTTTTACGTCACATTGACACAGTATAGGTCATATCGCGACGTTCCAGCTTTACTGGTGGAGGAAGACCTCAGGTGCTCTTCCGTGCATTATTTCAGGCACGAACGGGCACCTGAGTAGAACCACCGACGTTCCGTAAGCTAGCTGGATAGCTTCCTCACATGAAAGAATCCAAAGTCCCTGTCGGGATTCGAACCCACAGCGGTGAGGGGCAAGTGGCAGTAAAAATTTAATTTGTTAAATCATTAATAACTCATCATAATAATTATTCATAATTATACAACCAGTGTATTGAATTATTTAAAGTAATACTATTGCTCATCCTTGAGTAAAATATTTCAAAGAAATTTGTTGAAATCTATGAAATTTGTATCGAATATGTCTAATTTGAATAAAAAAAATTAATGAATAAACTGTGTTTTAGAAGCCACGTTTCCTATTACACGACAGCTAAATATGGTCTTTTCTTAAAAAAACTGCCATTCTTTTTAACGACACTATATATTCATATTGTGACGACCTAAAGTGTGTAGTGTTTTAAACATGGAATATCTACTTTGTGAGAAGTCAAAACATGTTTAATTTATATTTACAAAGAGACTGTGTAGCAATTATCAATATATTCTGATTTCAAATTTGAGCATAGTATATCTTTAATAACTCTTCTTTTATTCATAACTATAAAATCAGTATTATAACAGATGATAAAACATGTATATACACAATAACTGACACTGCAAAGCAAAATTTCAAGCATAATTATAAAACAACAATCAAACAAAAATTACAAAAACCACACAAAATATTGTACAAAAATTTTTTATAGTAGGTCTTAATACTGAGATTAAGATGCAAAAACGATGCAGAAAATATGTCCTTAGGCTACACTGCAGTTCACTAATGGAGACAAACCTTTGTTTCCCTTTTGTATATTATATTAAGTAACCAAAAAACAACTATCAAACTTCTGTTTGCATCTACGCTAGCTTAGCTTCTAGTATAAACAAATCCAAATTTTAACTCCCTATCTTGAATCAAAAAGCAGAAAAATTGTATGGGTAAAATTCAAAATCTCTTCCAGTATAACCTACAAAGCTACTTTGCCAAACAGAGTCTTTATGCAAAGTTTTTTCTTGCTTTAAACTTTTCATTGCCTTTAAAATTTAATAGTAATATAAAATATATCCATGAATGAGAAATGTGTCCAATTCCCTCAAATTCTACTGTTTTGATTGTTTGTTTGTTTAATTTTACGCCTTTTCCCAACAGTATTTCAGTCATATAAGCGGGTAGTTTCCTAACCATTGTTCCTGGAGAGTTACACCAGTACTAGACTACCTTCCTCCGCGCTAAACTACCAAAGCATCTCCCGGGGATTGAACCAACGCCAGAGAGGTAACTGGGTTAGAAGTCATCGAATCTAACCCCACAACCACGGAGGAGGTTCCACTGTTTTGACTATCAACAGATGGTCAGCCTGACAGTGGGAATGTCAAGAGAAAAATCTAAACCTCCCCACCCACCTAAAGTATGGGAATAAAAATATTACAATTTGAATCTTCCATAGAATATTAATTATGGAAAGCCATCACTGTAAATATACAATAATTCTTTATTAGAAAAAGAAGCCACAATTATAAGTATTATTAAATCATAAATGTTCTTTATTAAATATGCATTACAAATATCACAATTTTTATCTTCCATAGATAAAGCAAATAATTATTAAAAGCTGTTACAGTAATATGGCACTGTTTTATTTAAATTTAGATACTCCAAATAAACATTACAAGTTTGATCTTCCATAAATATATAGCAAGTGTAATAGGCTACTACAATAACATACAATATTCTGTATCATTGATTTATTGTAAACATTACAAATTTGATCTTCCATAGAACACAGCAAAATATGGAAAAGCACATAAGTATTAAACAATATTTATCAAATAAACAGCGGCACAGGAGTGTAATATAGCCATTTAATAAAAACAATATTACACTAGTGTAATGACACTTTAACGAGACGTCATTTGCCCTCATAATATAGAAACATAGCGTAAAAGCGAGCTAATGTTAGCGTTACCCTATAGGTGTGTCATTGAAAAATTACTCATTTTATCAGTTTACTGTACTCATAATTATTATATATGTGATTAATAGAATATTATATTCATGTAGATTCAATACTAAATTTATTAAACTCGTTGAGTAAAACAATATTATGCTCACCAGAGGCTCGCATAATATGATTTAGTATTAAACTACACTCATTCAATATCCTCTATTTCTTTACATTATTTTTCAAAAAAATAGTATGAGCAAGTATGAAAAGCCACTATATACAGTAACATCTTAAAATTAAATATGAAAAGCCACTACAGTAATATCATAAATATGGAAGCCACTACTGCTCTCTTATAAGCATCAAGAAATTATGAAATAATTCTGGTTTCTTAAGAATTGGCTTTCTCTAAGCCGTAGAAAATTATCAAGCTTGATATTCTTATCTTTAATTGAGCCGCGTCACGACAAAACCAACATAATGGGTTTGCGACCAGCATGGATCCAGACCAGCCTGCGCATCCGCGCAGCCTGCGCAGTCTGATCAGGATCCATGTTGTTCGCTTACAAACCCTATAACAAATAGAGAAACTGATAGAGAACAGCATGGATCCTGATCAGACTGCGCGGATGCGCAGGCTGGTCTGGATCCATGCTGGTCGCAAATGCACTATGTTGGTTTTGTTGTGACGCGGCTCAATTTATGAAGGAGACAAAGAACATAAAATATAACAGTGCACTATATAAGACACCTTTTGGGGACAGGTACCCATACCCTAAGGAAGGGGAATTTTGCGTTGTTTTAAATTTTATATTATGTATTTAGTGTATTTTTTTATCACATTTACTCATTACACTGTTTCCTACCATTGGTTTCAATAGTTTGTAATTTTCCTACCGTTGAAATCAATAGCTAGTATTAGACTAACAAATCAAATAAATTTTTTTAAGTTGATCTCTATTTTAGACTTTGGAGGGGATATTTTTCTGAGATAGGGGAAAAATACATATGATTTTGAGAGGGGAACAGTACCCATATTCGGCCCCAAAACAACCAAACGAGTGCCCTGTATAATAATTTATATTATCACTGTTCATATACACCACAGTCATATAGAGCTTTTCCTTAAGAAAAAAGCTACACTCATCAATTATCCACAATAATTAAATATTGTGTCTTGCTCCAGGTTTTTTTTACGATGAAAGAACAATTTAATTTTACTTTTACCCATTAAACCTGTAGAATTATTAAGATGGACTTGTCAAGTTTCCAATTTTGTATTTGTCCAATATGCTAAATAATCTAGGGTTTTTTCCCCTAATTTCAATTCAAATATTACCAATAGCTGTCAAAAAAAATCAAACTTTTTCAACTTCTGAGAAAAAAAAAAGTTTCTTAAAACAATATCCTTCCAGTTAAAGATGTAGGAGTCAGTAAATGATTCTTATACCACCACACCTTTCTAAAATTTATAAACATTAAAATCTATTTATTTTGTTATATGATCAACTTTTATTCACTACCCCACATATAACTAGATCTCAATTGATAAAAATTAAAATAGAAATATTAAAAAAAAGAATAACATATAGACCTTCTTTATCAGATAATGTGCAGTATACAAAAATATCTTCAACAAAGCTATAAATAGACTTCTAAAGCTATAAATAGACATCTAAAGCTATAAATAGAAATCAAAAGCTATAAATAGACATCAAAAGCTATAAATAGCAACACAAGTCATTTTAAGATATCAAAAGCTATAAATAGACATCAAAAGCTATAAATAGCAACAAGTCATTTTAAGATACAAACACACACATAAACACAGCAAAGACTTGTTAGTAAGTACCTTATGGGTGAATTAGGAAATGCGGGGGGCATCATGCCAAGTCTGAAAAATGGTATAAATGAGTCATGATATTGAAAATAGTCCAAGTAAAAAAATAGTCCAAGTAAAAAAAAAAAAAAATGAAGAAAAATTTGTATATACATGAATAAATAATATTATCATATGCATATTTAAAATCTGGCAAATGTGCCAAAATAATAATATCTGTCATATGTTGCGGTTCGGACCGGAATATCCGTCCCGAGGGGACCCGCCCATTGGGCGGTAACGAGGCTTGCCGAGTTACCGCCCATGGGCGGGTTCCCGAGGGACGGATATTCCGATCCGAACCGCAAACATATGTCAGATATTTTTTCTTGCATATTCTGCCATATTATTTCATATTTAAAATGGTTTACCTCAATATGATATATGTTCATGGAAATTAAAGTCATTTCATCCATAACTATTTTCTTACAATAGCGTATGAACTTACAACTTAAATAACAACGGCGAAATGACGTCATCCTAAGCACATATTTCCCTTCTAAAACGACGTCATTTTAACGCGGTTCATTCATAAAGTGCGCTAAAATGACGTTGTTGTTTGGCACGCGACTCATCTGGCACCCCCCATGCCAGATGAAATTTCCGGCATGGGTAAAACTCACGGAAACGCCAGTCTGCTATGCAAGAATCAAACTTCCACAAACAATAACAAAGCTCAGAAACTGTGTCAAATTAGATTTTTTGATATTGACCATGCCAAATATGGATATTGATAAAATTTTTATACATCCTAGTTACAACGTATTATTATGCTTTAAGCTCGGCACTTTGCCAAGTAAGAATAATTTACCATGCATATCACATAAGGTTTCACCAGGCACTACACTCCTATTTCTTAAAACTTGACATAATCATTTCGGAGACAAAATACTCAATTTCCGCGATCAACTGTCACAGCAAAATTTCGCAATTCTCGATGATGGAATTGTTGACCCCCTGGATTAATCATCTAATGCTCTACCTTTTTAGCATTATAATCATAACAAATCAGCGTTGAACCATTATCGTTATATCCTGGATTGAACTTACACATTTTTTCTCTCCTGAGTATTTTTACACCTTATCCAGCTTTAAAACTGCACGTAAATTTTTCGTGAAAATTTTGAAAATGTATTTTAAAGAAAAAACATTGTGAGGTAAACACAGTGAATAATTTACACATTGCAAATGGCACTTTAAAGTTCACATAAATTACCAAAAAAGAGGTCAAAATATGCTAAAATATTTGAATCTTGAATATTTCTTTCTTTTCTAAAAATTTCAGTGCATTTTTCTCAAGTTTTTTCTTGAAATATGTGGGCTCATCTGGAGGCGTGCAGCTTTAATTCCTTTAAGGCACGACCAACCATGACAAAATTGCTGAATCTTGAATTTCAAAATTATGAGGGGATTGACGCCCCACTCAACTGAAAAAAGTGGGGGATTTGAAAAAATGTGGGGGGAAATGCATTTACCTAACAACTTGACGTACTAAAAATAATTTATGTTTAGGTATTTTTGAAAGCACTCTTCTGCTTATCAAAGGAAATAGAAAAAGTATTGACGTATATTAGTAAAGTGCGCGGGTCAATACACACATATAAGATGACCCGGGTGCCCCACGGGGACCCGGGTGCTTCACTGGATTTAGTATGTATTTTAGTCATAACCACTAACCAAAACAAACTTGGCAGAAACATTCAAGATATGACAAACGATTACTGAATTAAGATGAAAAGATCAACTTATGCGCTACTTGGTGCGCACTGTCTTCATTAAAATGCACGATCTGCAAGAAATATGCGCAAATTGTGCAATTGCGCGGTCTATTAATGCAACACTGTTGCACCAACAAATTCATTTTTCTGTAAATTTGCACGCATTAATAAATAAAATTTACATCATGCCAAGATGCAAAGAGGAATGTCTAACTAATGTGTTTAAATGTTGCGTAAAATGTGTTAAATGTTGCACAGATACATCAAATGTAGCATAAATGTGTTACATAATGCACAGATACATTAAATGTTGCATAAATGTGTTACATGTTGCACAGGTACATCAAATGTGGCATAAAGTGTAACATTATGCACAGGTATGTGGAATATTGCAAAAATGTGTTAAATGCAGCACAGATATGTGGAATATTGCATAAATGAGTTAAATGCTGCACAGATAATTTGGAATAATTTGTGTATGTTGATGTCGGGTATTATTGTAGGCCTTCCCCCCTCCCCCTTAGAAGGGTTCCTTGTCATGTAGTCACATTTACCGAATACATAATTATTACTTCACATATATACCAAAGGAATATCAGATCAATAAATTATCACACCAGTCTACTTCCAATTTTCGTAAAAAAAGGTTCCAGTTAATGAATATAAACTCCGAAGGAAAAGGTGAAGTGATTGAAAGTGGCAGCTGCTAGTTACTGAACAACATGATTCGCTTGTATCGCACAGGCTTTCATTTATTGTAGGGCCGGGAATTATATTCGAATATTCGAAACACTACCGAATATTCGAACATTGAAAAACGAATACGAATATTCGAAAAAAAAAGAGTGTTTTTTTTTGTTATTACTTTCAAATTTCAATTAAGATCGTAAATTAAACCATTGACCTTTACTTGACCAGGTGTTCACACGTTTGTATGACGCGTGTCAACGATTATCGCCAATTAACTGTGAAAACTTTGGGGTCTAGTTGATCAAAAGGGCACCCGTTTCACAGTTTGCAATTTACCTGTTTAACAGAATATAATGTAAATTTCCGATTTTAATTATCTTATTTATTGTTTTCTGTGCAATAATCTTTCCGATTAATCAGTAATTGTCTTAAATTTTGTGAAGACGAAAAACTCGACACGTATTAATCGGTACTTTATGAAAGCATGGTCAGTGTCTATATTCCGTCAAAATATATTTATTCCGAAGAAACTAGACTGCGTGTGATATTTACTGCGTTATAGCAAAATTTATCTGAAGAATATTTTAAACCTTATCTAAAATAATAAATAAATAAAAGATATATTAAATTCAAATTAAGTTTCAATATAAATTATGTGTTTTTGGGGCTAAGAGGCTACGGTGATTCATGAATATTACTGTCAATCAAGTCACGTGAATTACCTCCCGTTAATAAGACAAATGATCAGCAGTCGGATTAACTGAACAAAAGGCAATCAAATTATGAATTTATTTCAAAAGTAAACATTTATGTCGATTTACAATATATAAAATAAAAAACTTTTACGTAGTAATATAGGTATTTTTAATCGTCGATTATTCCAAGCATATTAAAGTAGTATAGTATTCGACGCAATCAATTTCGGATACGTATACGTCAAAGAGAAATATTGGAACAAATGTTGTAAAAACGAATATTCGAATATATTCGAATATGGAAAACGAATATTCGAACATCAAATTCCTTATTCGTTCCCAGCCCTAATTTATTGACATTTGATAATTATGACATTACGAAACATTTCACTAAACATATCAATTACAGCCACATTGAATGTCATAACTTTAAATCACCTGCCCATCATTAACCAAAACTTAAATTAACATCCTTAAGTTTACCCTCTGTTAAGAAATTACCTCTTTATTTCTTCCCAAAGTAAATATTTCCTCTATATTTTACCTCTATAGAGCAATAAACTTATCATTACACTTATAATTAAACTTATATTACACCAACATTATTTCTTCTCAAAGAAAAGATTTCCATTTTCATCACATACCCTTGCCGCTTTTACGACTCCGTAAATTACTCGGTCGTGCATATATTTTGACGTGATGTCATTTGCATTATACAAACATAGCGTTTAGATGTGCTAAATGTTAACATTATACTATAGGAGCATCAATTAAAAATATTTCTTTTTCACTTCAACCATGTCAACCAGTCTTTATTTTCAGTATATGTGATATAAAAGAATATTACATTCATGTAAGTTCAATACTAAATTTATTGAACTTGTTGAATAAAATAATGTTAGGGCTCGACAGAGCCTTTCACAATATAACTTTATTCAACTCGGTTTCTGTGGTCTCATCATAAAAGCAATTAAAGACAAGATACATATATTCAAAATTGACCAATCCAATCGCACCTTACTTTTAAAATTGTCGAATCAAATAAGAATTTAAATTTCGTAAGTGCAAAGTCAACCGATCAGAAAGGCCGTTAGTACCTTAAGTGGCAGAATACAAACAGGACCTTGAACCCCTGGATTACTAGTCCAGGTAAATTATCAACTGGACCAGAGACCCACTCCAAACTTATAATTCTAACAACTTACTTCAATTACCGACAACATAAATATTTCTTTCAAAATTGACCAATGCAATAATTATTGCACCTTACTGATTTCCTTTTAAAATTGTCCAATCATGTCAAAGTTTAGATTTCTTAAGTGCAAAGTCAACCAATCAGAAAAAAGGTAACATAATGTATTTATTTACCCAGAAGCCACTTCATCCTCATCCAGCAATCTCAGTCTCTTCTTTTCCTCCCTTTCCTTTAAAATAACCTGTAATTATAGTGTAAAGTTAAAGGGACTCCACTGAGGTTTAAAAGCCTAAAAACACAACATTTGAATTTCTTACATGAATGAGCTGGGGCACTTTCAACAGAAATATATGCAAATATAGTCAAGAAATATACTTTGAAATAAATTGAAAATCATATTTTTGTGCTTTTCTCAGCCTGATTTGAGTGTAAAGCGTTTGAACGTTTTTCATTTTGGGTAATTTTTTTACAATCAGAACAATTATTCTGGAAAAACGAAGTGCCAAATGATTTGAAATTTTGTACAAAGATTAGTTGTCTAAACCTCCATCAAATGGTACATTTATCTGGAAAAATATTTTCATTCCCATCATGTCAAAAAACCTCAGTGGCGTCCCTTTAAAGGGATACTCAGGCAAATTAATGACAAAAATATTAAAATGATCTTATGAACTTAAATCACACTAAAATGAGGGTTATAAATGAGGGCTAAAAATGTGTGCCGCCAAAGAGAGTTACAAATGAGGGCTTCAAATGAGGGCTATAAACAAGAGGGCCATGATGGCCCTGAAATCGCTCACCTGTATAAAGGCCCCCGGGGCGGGGCTAATTTTAACCCAGGGGCTTTTATTTGAACAAACTTGGTAGATCCCCATTTGAAAATGTTTCATGATAAATATCTAAGCTCTAGCTCTAAGAAAATTTTTAAGTTTTTACTATACACATATAGTGAAAAACAATGACCCCCCCCCCCCCTCTGTGCGGGCCAATTTTGTCCCCAGGGCTTTTATTTGAACAAACTTGGTAAACACTCACTAGAAGATAATTCATGTTTAATATCTAAACTCTAGCTCTTTGGGCTTTTTAACAGAACATTTTTTAAGTTTTTACTATATACATAAAAGGAAAATAAATGATCCCGGGGAGGGCCAATTTTTTAACCCCAGGGCCCTTAATTTAACAAAAATGGTAGACACCCATTAGAAGATGTTTCATGCTAAATATCTTAGCTCTAGCTCTTAAGATTTTTTAAAAGAAGATTTTTTATGTTTTAACTATATATATAAAAGGAAAAGCAATGACCACCTGGGGCGGGGCCAATTTTGACCCAAGGGCTTTTATTTGAACAAACTTGTTAGACACCCCCTAGAAGAGGTTTCATGCTTAATAGCTAAGCTCTAGCTCTCTGGGTTTTTTAAAAGAAGATTTTTTAAGTTTTACTATATGCATATAGGGTAAATCAATGACCCCCTGGGGCGGGGCCAATTTTGACCCCAGGGCTTTTATTTGAACAAACTGGGTAGACACCCATTAGAACATGTTTCATGCTAAATATCTTAGCTCTAGCTCTTTGAGTTCTTTGAAAGAAGATTTTTAAGGTTTTACAATATGCATATAGGGAAAATCAATGACCCCCTGGGGCAGGGCCAATTTTGACCCCAGGGCTTTTAATTGAACAAGCTTGGTAGACACTGACAAGAAGATGTTTCATGCCAAATATCTAAGCTCTACCTCTTTGGGTTTTTTAAAAGAAGAAATTTTTTAAGGTTTTACTATATGCATATAGGGAAAATCAATGACCCCCTGGAGCGGGGCCAATTTTGACCCCAGGGCTTATATTTGAACAAACTTGGTAGACACTGACTAGAAGATGTTTCATGCCAAATATCTAAGCTCTACCTCTTTGGGTTTTTATAAAGAAGATATTTTAAGTTTTTTCTTTCGGTTGCCATGGCAACCAGAGTTCTGCATAGAATTAAATTCTTTGAACAATTTTTAAAGGTGACCACCAAAAGAACACTCCTGTGAAGTTTGGATGAAATTGGCCTAGTGGTTTATGAGGAGTTGTCATTTAAAGTAAAAGTTTACGGACGGACGCCGGACGAAAAGCGATCACAAAAGCTCACCCTGTCACTTTGTGACAGGTGAGCTAATAAGGACTACAAATGAGGGCAAGACATCTTACCTTCTTCAGTGGACTGGGTTTCTTTATTTTTGGCGTCTCTCTTTCTTTACCTCTCTTTATGGCTGGTGCACTGGAATCTAAGGCATTAAGCTGTAAAAATAGACAAAAGGAGAGAAAAATTAACTAAAGGAGTTAAAGATAGACAAAAGGAGTTTAAAATAAACTAAAGGAGTTAAAAATAGACAAAAGGAGTTTAAAATAGACAAAAGGAGTTCTTTATTTCCGGTTAGTTGATAATTTTTTTAACAAGATTTCTCTAGCTAAGTTATTATTATTTCTGGTTTACATGGTTTAAAGGCACATGATGCCTCAGAAATTTTTTCAATTCTTTAGAACTGACAAACATGCGTTTAAATATGTTTTCATAATGGATTTAGAGCATGTTAGATGTTTAACAATTGAAGAAAGTAGCGTTGAACATGGGGTAATGTGTTGTAAAGATAGCGAAATGTAAACAAAGTAGTATTGTGACTTCCATACAAAATACTCACTATGATTATACAATTGCCATTAGAGCAAAAGAAGTAAAAGAGAGTTCATATATAACAGGGATTTTTTCGGCTTATTTTATATTCAGTCATATTCCCAACTAAAAATAGTATATAATTTTCCCAATCCACTGGAAATTTTTTCCCAAATGAAATTTACAAAATAAAATTATTGAATAACAAACTCTAAAATCTTTGAAAATAAGAGTGTTTTCACTGTTATGATGCTTTAATGTTTATAGTTAATGAGCATGTTATGGGAGACTGTAACAAGACAAGAAAAATAAACAGTTTTTGAGAAATAAGAATGAAAAGCAATTCTGAGGCATAATGGGCCTTTAAATAAATTCAGTATTGAACCTATTTTCATTCATTTTCCTCTAGTAAACTGTAGAAAATAATACTTATTGATTTTAATTCATCTTTTTTAGCAAAAACAGGCATAATGAGCCTTTAAATAAATTCAGTATTAAACCTATTTTCATACAATTTCCTCTAGTAAACTTTAGAATACTTACCGATTTTAATTCATCTTTTTTAGCAACAACCGACTTCGCATCTTTCTTGGGTGGAGGTGTCTGCTCCTTCTTCGACTGTGAAAGAAAAAAAAATTCCATAAAAAAAAGCGTGCATAATTTTTTTTATAAATATTAGAAATACTTATGGAAAATGTGCCAATTGCATGGCCAGCAAAAGTTAAAATGAAAATGTACAAATAACAAAACATACATTAGGCCTAAAAAAAAAATTAAGTTTGTTTCTGGTAACCCGACCTGTCAGCTTAATTTTTCCCCTGCACCGCAACTTTTTACAGACTACTCAACCATATGGTCTCTTTCCAGTGGCGAGGGTTAACAAACTCATACACACAAATTTTTACAGACTTTACAAAAAAAAAAAAAATCAATAATTTTACCAACCAGGTCTGGGTGTAATGGAATCGATGCTGAATCATACCTTACCCACTAAAAAAAAGCCCCCCCTACTGACACATCATTTTTTAGGAGATGTTACCAAAACAAACATATTTTTTTCCTATGCCTTACCTCGAGCGCATCAATTAAGGCACCAAAGTCGTAGGTTATTGGCTGTTTAGATTTTTTACCACTTTGAGCAGCAGAAGACTGTTGTGCTGGGGGCGTGGCCTGAGAAGTCTTCAAAATACCTGAAAACCAAAAACACAAGTAACAAGGTTTCAGTGAAAAGAAAAAAAAAAATTTAAAGAGCCCCTTGTCATTAAAAATTTTATGTACTCCAGTAAAATTGATGTGATAATATCAGCTATGTACCCTAAATTTAGTAATATTTGCTCAGCCAAACTTTTGTGAAATCGACACTTTGAAGTAATTTGCGAGGGCAAATATTCCCATATTGCCACATTGTTTCAAATTTATTATAATACCACGCTACTTATCAAAGAGTGAGTCCAAAGGGCGACGCCTGGTTGATCACATGAGCACTCCATTTTCTAATAATAATTGCACATAAGATTACTTAGGCAAGGTGTTAGCCCCTCCCCCCCCCAAAACCTGTACCCCAACCCTAAAGTTTCATAGAAAAACAAAGTATACAAACCTGGCTGTCGGACAGCAGAGGTATTTGGCTGGTGTGGGCTGGAATTATGGGATGGCTCCGTTGCCACGGTACCTGGCAACAACAAGGAAACCTTCTTCCCAGTGGAGGACGACTGGGAGGCGGGACTAGATGGGGTAAGCTGAAAAATAATGCGTAACTATAAAATATAGAGATCTAACTAGAAGGTTGTCGCCCACAATATACAGGTAGATCACAAACAACAATATACAGGTAGATCACAAAGCAATACTGTGAAATCATTTTAATCCGGCAAAAGGCAATTTCGTTGGGTCGTAAATTTGTGGATTTCTTATCCTGTCTGATACGCAAGAGATATACTATGTAACTTAATTATTTCAGACACCAGCCGAATTCCGGCTATGACCACCAATGTTTAGTAAGCTAGCTGGATAATAATCCTCCTCACATAGAACAATCCTGGCCGTATTCGAACCCAACAACAGTGGGGGCCTGAGATTTAAAGCCAACAATCTTTCACTAGCTTTAATATTTATATTACCTTCCACACTCCCTGTGACGGAGCATTCCGTACTGGCGAGACCGATTTCTTTGCCGCAAGTGGCAACTTTTGCTTCATCTTCAACTCCAGCATGTGTTGCTCAAGGTTTATTTCAGCCATTTCTGCGTCGGCAGCCTTGTTTGCAACCTCTCGTCTTTTCCGTCGCTTTCGTGAACTTCGACTCTCCTTCACTGAAGACGTACCTAAATAAAATAAATTACAAGAACGTTCACTGAAGACGTACCTAAATAAAATAAATTACAAGAACGTCATTAACTGGAAGCTTGGGGCAAGCAGTCTACGAAATTATCAGTTGTCCTATTGCCCGAGACAACCAGTTTTTGGTCCGGACAACCAATTTTTAAAAGTTTACTTGCCCGATGAACAAGTAAAAATTTGCAAAAAATATTCATCAAAATCTTAACGAATAGGGATAAAATTCAAGATATCAAATACAATTAGTTTGCCTACATTTATGACTGTTTCTCACTGAAGATAAGTTTGCAGATTTGATCATTAATGGCTTGGAGATGTTCTGATGAAAATCTTCGGGCAACCAGTTTTTACTTCGGACAACCAGATTTTCTTGAATTGGTTGCCTGAATGACAACAATTTTTAAACCCTAATTTCACAGACTGGTTTTCATTGGATTAAACTCAATACAGTGTTAAATCAGTACCTCTAGATGCTTGCAGAAATCATGATCACAAAAATAGACAAATACCACTTTTCTTCCCTTATTCTACACTTTTAATACATGATCATAATTATACAAATCAATTTAAAGAAATGAATTAGATGTCTTTACCTTGCCGATGGTCTTACCTATGGTATTTTTGTAAAGAGACTGGTTTAATAGTTTAACATGCTTAGACTGCTTTACAGGTTTACATAATTATGGCAGTTACATAGACCGGTTTATAGTTTTAGCTATGGTATTTTAAAGGAGACTGGTTTATAGTTGTGCCAATGGCATCATAACATAAACTGGTACCGTGACTGCTTTGAAAATTTTCTTTCTCAATTGAGACAAAGACTGGTTTAAAGATTTACCTGCAGTGTCCGGAGAAAATTGCTCGTCTGGAGATATGGTTTTTGTAGATTGCACATTATTCTGAAAATATAAATACAATACACATATATAGCATGATCGCAATAAGTAGAACTTTAGGTAGGGACCTGATGCACGTGCTTGACACATCATCATTTTGTCCAACACATATGAGCCCCGAAACGACAAAACCAACATAATGGGTTTGCAACCAACATGGATCCAGACCAGCCTGCTCATCCGCGCAGTCTGATCAGCATCCATGCTGTTCGCTTACAAACCCTATAACAAGTAGAGAAACTGATAGCGAACAGCATGGATCCTGATCAGACTGTGCGGATGCGCAGGCTGGTCTGGATCCATGCTGGTCGCTTTAACCCATTATTTTGGTTTTGTCGTGACATGGCTCATATACTCATTATAATTTTCAAATCCATCCATGAATATCAGAATCACTGGTCTCAGACACGTCCATCAGAGCATTTGTAGTAAAATGTTCCTTTGAAGTCAAGAGTGTGACCTTGACCTTTGAGCTTAAGACCTTTATCTTGTGCATGACATATTGCCCTAAATGGCTTTACATTCTATACCAAATTATTTTAAAATCCATTAACAAATGACAAAGCTATGAAACAAAGAAAGTATGAACAGAGACGGACGGAAGGATTACAGGACAGATGGACGCTACAAATCATATATGAGCCGTGTCACGACAAAACCAACATAGTGCGTTTGCGACCAACATGGATCCAGACCAGCCTGCTCATCCGCGCAGTCTGACAGGATCCATGCTGTTCGCTGACAAACCCTCACTTACAAACCCTATAACAAGTAGAGAAACTGATAGCGAACAGCATGGATCCTGATCAGACTGTGCGGATGCGCAGGCTGGTCTGGATCCATGCTAGTCGCAAACCCGCTATGTTGGTTTTGTCGTGACGCAGCTCATATAATTGCCTTCCCAATTTGAGGGGCATTAAAAAAAAAACACCCACTGACATACATTTTCTGACTTGACAAATTAAAATACCTGTCACAGTATTTTAACCACAAATTATTGTATTTAACTTGTTAGTTACATAAACTGCCACAGGTCATTTCGGTCACAAGTGTTAAAATTGACTATCTTAACATGTTACGAAGTAGTTTAAACATATTTTGTTGACAAACTGTAATATATATGTATTTAAAATTTAACATAGTGACATGTCATGGTTGACATTTTGCATTCCTTTCTTAATTTTTTTTTTTTTTTTTGTCAAAAAATATTTTCAGAGCCACTTGTCCCGGACGATTTGCTAAAGTAAATCCAATGTGCAGGCTACATTTTTTCTACTGATCGTCCTTTATCAAGTTCTCTTAAATTGTAGTTACAAGCTAATGAGTGGAATTTTCAATCTATATTTGTAATATGACAAATCTAAGTAATTTTTTTACGCAGTTTTAGGGCCAAAAAAGAGCCCCATATAATTTATATATTATAATAAAGTCAAAAAAAATTTTTTTGTCACAATAATTGTTAAATGAAAATTCATATTAATTAGGTATCACCTTGGTGCAATAACAGTTTAAGTCCTTCTAAAGTAAACAGCAGTTAATCAGTTATTGCACTAAGGTGACAAATTATTGTCAAAATGACTTTAAGGACATGAGAAACAGTCAGTATAACTCCGGTAAGTCAGAGGGACTGATGCAAAACCGGGATTAAATGACAAATTTTCAAGCCGTTGACTTTGACAAGCAAGTTACTAAAGGCGTAACGAAAGCAATGGGCAAATAAAAGGAAAGGGCAAAACTAAACCAGATTATTATAAATATATTCCTTGTGATTATCATGTGACACCTGGTCAGGGAAGTCCTTAAAGGAAACTTATTCATACTATTTATTTTTCAAATACAACTACGTAAATTTGAATGATAAAATATAGTATATTCTTACACACAGGAACGCATATAAAGCAGTTAGAACACACGGTCGTTGATCTGCAATTATATTCGCTGCTAGGAAAGGTGCGAAAAGTATCTCGAGATCAAAAGTGTCAAATCGATGGGACAGAGACTTCGTTATGGTAAAATGTTCTCAAATTATTCCTTACGGACCAAGTAAAAACTTCCACGCATCGAAAATATCAACACATAAAAATTTAACTCATATATTGGTAAATTAAATTATAAAGAATATAATGGGGAAAAAAATCAAGACTTTCATTTTACTTGAATACAGATCGAGAAAATTAACTTTTATTAATCTAAGTTCAACACATAGAAGTTTTGACTGTATATAATGTGTCATTAGTAGTAAGTCACATCAAGAAAATTTACTTGGACAAATATAAGTTCTACTTTTTGCAATGATTAATTACAAATTCGACACATCAAGAAAATCTACTTATAGAAGTTGAACACATAGAAGTTCTACGGTACTTTAAGGCATTACAGGTTTCATACATAGAAGTTCTACTGTACATATTGAGTAAATTACATACAAGTACGATCTCACATTGTTAATAACATTTTTTTTTTAGGCTATATCATAATTATAAATGATGAATGTGGCGGCATGGCCGAGTGGTTAACACATCGGACTAGTAATCTCATGATCACTTGCCGCATGGGTTCAAACCCCGTCAGGGGCAAGTCATTGTTTCCTTGAGCAAGAAACTTTACACTCATTGTTCAGTACTGGTTGGTTCCAGGAACGGATTCGAAAGTGTGTCTATAAGCTTATAGCTTCCTACACAATCGAACTAAAATAAATTCTGTATAAACCAATTATAAATGAACTACTTACAGCATTATTGATGATATCACTGTATGACATAGTGGCCGCAGGAAACTGACTAGAAATTGCGGGATGGCACCCACCGCCACAACCGGACAAATCCGGAAACTCCTCCTCGTCTTCAAAATGAAGGGTTATCTCCTCTGAAGCACCAACAGTTTCCTCATTTTCAGCAGTTACCTCCCCTGTTTTCTTCTTCCGTCGCCGCCGGCGACGCTTTTTCTTCTTCCCTTCCCCGTCACCCTGATTGTTGTTATTATTATCACTTAGGGAATGACCTTTCCTATCAAGGTCAATATCTGATTTATTGCTATCACTGAAAAAGTTTTGACCTTTGAACTGTCCACTCACATTAACCTGCGGATGACCTTTTAACTGTGACTTTTGATGGACACCATGATGACTTTTAATTTCAGTCTCTCCCGATTTTCGTTCATTTCCCAAATGGACACAATGAGAATTGGTCAAATGACCTTTATGTTCATTGACCTTTGAACTTCTCTGTGATACCTGACTAATTGTTGACACATTTGAGATATGATTTTCTGCCTTTGGCAATTCTTTGACGGCAGCGCTATACAGAAACTTGACAGGTCCCGTTTCACTCTCACCATGTTGTTTTTGATATGCGTTTTCCGAATTAAATGCTGAGTCTTCAAGTTTTTTATCTGCCCTTTCCAAATCCTGCATAATTTCCGCGACATTAACGTTCACATTGCCAATCCTAGATGCCGACCTACTACTCTCTTTCACATACTTTTTCGCGGACGTAGTTCTACTTATAGTAACACTATTATCACAGATGGCCTGTTCACCTTGATCGGTTGCCGCGACAACCAAGTTTTGTTTATGAGTCTGACTAGGGTTTGTTTGAGCAATACTTGCATAAGACCGCCTAAACGTAGGCTCTACACCACTATCATTTAAATAAGGCACCGAATTTACCGTACCATGCATAGTACTCGAACTTTCATTGTGACCGTGACCTTTGAACCCTGTGGCACCAGAATACACAGTATAAGCAGTAGATAACGAACCAGAGTTATTGGTCATGTGACTAAATTGGTTATCAGATACAGCCAGGCTAGCTACACAGATACCTTCAGTGAACCCGGTCGACGGATTGGTACCGTTGGAGACGGTGTTACGTCCTAGTAACATACCGTCCTCAGTGTCAATGTCAGACGCGCTCCTGTTCGATGAATGACGTGACCGTCTGCTGCCAGGTTTATGATGGTCTTTATAAGCCACTTGACCATTATTATACAGGGTGTTTGGTGATTCTTCTAATGTTGCGCTGGCGATGTGCTCCGGAAAATCTGAGAAGAAAAAATACCAATCATTGATTTTTCCGAAGGATTTAATTTTGCTTTTAAATCTGCAAAAAATACAATAATACCGTCAAATCATTGATTTTCTCAAAGGATTTAATTTTGCTTTTAAATCTGCAAAAAATATAATAATACCGTCAAATCATAGATTTCCCCGAAGGATTTAATTTTGCTTTCATTTCCCAATTTTGAAAAATTTTCAAAAATAATATTAATGCCGGCCAAGTATTTATCACAAGTTAACAGAAATAAAAGTTAAAATTTGGGAATACATTATAATCTTTGTGCAATAACGGGTTAACTCGTATTAAATCATATAAGGAGTTAAGCCGTTTCTGTACTAAGATGAGAATATATTTTACCTTGTAGAAAAATAAACCTATGCAAAACTACTTTATACCCTGATAAAATCCTGTATAATGTAAAGGAAAAAGATCTCCACTTTTAAATTATGAAATATTACACAACACATGTAGTTTAAATTTCTACTTTATAATCCTTACTTGCTGAAGAGCTTGTACTTTTTTTTATGACAGAAACTAGCCTTAGGCACGACAGTTAAATATCATCTATATATTAATTTCACATTTAATTAATTTATGAACATATTTTGTTTTTGTCTAGCCTTTTTTTACATAATTATTATGCTTCTGCATCCATTAAAAAGTACATATCAAGAAATAATGTCAGATAAATAAAGCGTGTGAAGCGTTAATAAATAATTATTTTTATTTGAACCATTATTAAAGTTACGCAAAAATTAATTTATATAATATTTTTTTTTAACTTTGATTTTTTAAATTTTTTGTTTAAAGACGTGACTTTCACATCGTCTTTCCAAAATTCCAAAAACCCAAGTCTATCTATAATTAGGTGTGCATACAAAATTTGAGCCACGGGGCGCCATGACAAAACCAACATAGTGCGTTTGCAACCAGCATGGATCCAGACCAGTCTGCACATCTGCACAGTCTGATCAGGATCCATGCTATTTGCAATCAGTTTCTTTACTTGTAATAGGGTTTGCAAGTGAACACTGTGCAGATGCTCATACTGGTCTGGATCCATGCTGGTTGCAAATGCACTATGTTGGTTTTGTCATGGCGCGGCTCAAATGTTTATTTATATTTGTACTATTGATTGCATAAACTTGTGCGGTACCTCTCTCATGATTAACTGTTAGAAAAACAAAAATTCTCTAAATTACTAACGAGAACTTACCACACTTTTCATATGCATTTTTACTAAATCTCAATTAAAAAAATTCATAACGCTACTTGTATTTACAGCGGACACTATTTTTAGCTTTTACTTAAAACCGATTTTGTGCTATTCATAAACTGATTATCACTCTATCATTTGTAGGTCAACATTCAGATGCAAATATCTTTGTTTTTCTAAGTCCATTTTTTTTGGAAATTTTTTTATATTTCACTCGAAAATGAAGCTAACCAATAGAACATAACATAAATCAATTTGTTTTGTTTTTTAATAAAATAGGGCTTTAAAAATTGTTGGATCAACTCTTGGTATTTGTATTTTTCACTTATGGAATTAATAATGGAATTAATAAAGTGTACTAAAGAAAATGTTGGGGGGGGGGGGGGGGAAACAAGGGGAAATAGGATCATGGTAGCCCCAGGTAGCCTACTGAAATTTATCTATATAGCTGTCAAGTTCTCTAGAATTTCTTTAAGATATACCAAGCTATCAAGTTCTCTAAGAATTCTTAAAGATACACTATGCTCAGCTTTGATTAAAATACTTTTATCACAGAAAATTATTGAAATCTATTAAATTTTTACTGAATATGTCTAATTTGAATAAAAAAAGGAATAAACTATGTATGGGAAGCTGCGTTACTGGTCAATAAAAGTTAATGTTTTCTTAAAAAAACTGCCCGTTTTAAATGACACTCTCTATTCACACCTACAGTTCACAGAATTTTAAACAATACGTATCTACTTTGTGTGAAGTCAAAACATGTTTACTTTATACTTACTTAGTGTTTGAAATTATTTTTTGTCCAATAGGATAGAAGTTTTTCAAATGAATTGTAACACGTTTACTTTGGTAAATCAATAAAACTAGTAAATCGACTGTTTATAAAATTTAATTGAACTAGAAATGTGTCATCATGCCACGGATGCCCCCGCATGCAGCCAAAATTTCAGATGTTATAATATTTAGTTCCAAATTTGTTTGCACAAATTATTGTTTTCATTTTAAGTTCAAAGCCCTTAAAACTTTTCAACGTTTACACAAACCATTTTCATACAATGTTCAAGGCACTGAAATTATTCAGTCTTAACCTTTTGAAAATAGCATATTTCATATTTGTAGCCAAAATAATGGCTACATAAATTTCCACAAAAGTATGAGTGCTGAAACTGAAAGTTCAAATTTTTTCCAATATTCAAGAAAGATAAGTTTGTCCAAAATCATTGAACCATGACCAAATTCAAACTTAAACTGCTTATTCCTAAGATGTATCTATATTATTTTCAAAGTGAAAGGGACATAACTCTGCCAAAAAATCATCGAACCATGACCAAATTCCAACTTGACCTGCCCATTCCTTTGACATATCCATATATCAAATTTGAGTTGAATATGTAACACTGTTGGGTAGATAATGAACAGAAACTGTAAATTTCATATTATTTTCAAAGTAAAAGGAGCATAACTCTGCCAAAAATCATCAAACCATGACCAAATTCAAACTTGACCTGTATTTTCTCATGACATATCCATATGTCAAATTTGATTTGAATGTGTTGTACCGTTGGGGAGATAATGAACGGAAACTGAAAATTTCATATTATTTTCAAAGTAAAAGGGGCATAACTCTGCCAAAAATCATCGAACCATGACCAAATTCAAACTTGACCTGTATTTTCTCATGACATATCCATATGTCAAATTTGAGTTGAATGTGTTGTACCGTTGGGGAGATAATGAACGGAAACTGAAAATTTCATATTATTTTCAAAGTAAAAGGGGCATAACTCTGCCAAAAATCATCGAACCATGACCAAATTCAAACTTGACCTGTATTTTCTCATGACATATCCATATGTCAAATTTGAGTTGAATGTGTTGTACCGTTGGGGAGATAATGAACGGAAACTGAAAATTTCATATTATTTTCAAAGTAAAAGGGGCATAACTCTGCCAAAAATCATCGAACCATGACCAAATTCAAACTTGACCTGTATTTTCTCATGACATATCCATATGTCAAATTTGATTTGAATGTGTTGTACCGTTGGGTAGATAATGAACGGAAACTGAAAATTTCATATTATTTTCAAAGTAAAAGGGGCATAACTCTGCCAAAAATCATCGAACCATGACCAAATTCAAACTTGACCTGTATTTTCTCATGACATATCCATATGTCAAATTTGAGTTGAATATGTGCAACCGTTACTAAGATAATGAACGGAAACTGATGATGACGGAATGACAGAATGACGGAAGGACGGAATGACGGAAGGACGGAAGGACGGAAGGACGGAACAGGGTAACACTATATGCCCCGGCCATTACATGGCGGGGGCATAAAAACACTTAGCTGGTTAAAACTTATTAGTACGTATTTACAAAATTAAATTGGTTGCGTGGCTGCGTACTTATAAATTTTATCCTATACAAAGAGACAGTGTTTAAATAATCAATATTTTTTTTTACCAAATTTGAGCATAGTACATCTTTAAAGTGACATTTTAATTGAGCCACGTCATGACAAAATTAACATAATGGGTTTGCGACCAGCATGGATCCAGACCAGCCTGCACATCCGTGCAGTCTGATCAGGATCCATGCTGTTCGCTATCAGTTTCTCTACTTGTTATAGGGTTTTTAAGCGAACAGCATGGATCCTGATCAGACTTGAGTGGATGCGCAGGCTGGTCTGGATCCATGCTGGTTGTAAATGCACTATGTTGGTTTTGTCATGACGCGGCTCATGATATCGCAAAAAATATTAGAAGATAAAAATACCTGTTTGAACAGATGAACTCTTGTAGCATATTTTCATGGTTCCATCACGGTTAGCTTCTGATTTCTAAAATATATATAGAAAAGTATTCACCAACTGTTGTAATCATTTTTTATTTCTTTAATTCAATTCCCAGTAGTCATTACTTGAAAGGTAAATTCACAACTTTTTCAAAAGCTGGAGGAAAAACTTCCAATGCTTTTCTGTAAACAATAATACAGACTCAATAAGCCAACTATAAAAGTACATAAATGAGCCGTGTCAAGACAAAACCAACATAATGGCTTTGCGACCAGCATGGATCCAGACCAGCCTGCGCATCCGCGCAGTCTGATCAGGATCCATGCTGTTCGCATACAAACTGTATAACAAGTAGAGAAACCGATAGCGAACAGCATGGATCCTGATCAGACTGCGCGGATCCATGCTGGTCGCAAAGCCATTATGTTGGTTTTGTCATGACGCGGCTCAAATATTGAAAGGCTTTGGAGAAATGAAATCAAAAAGCATTTCTGAGGCATAATGGGCCATTAAGTTTTTTTTTCAGGGTTTTTTTTTTTTCATCAAAAACTGACAAATTTAGATTTTGTTTTAATTGGTTTTACGACACATCAACACAGTATATGTCATATGACCCTGAAACAAGGAAAGATGATACAGGCTCACCTCTGGTGTAACAAACTTCAAAGCAACACCAGGGGTCAAAACCCCCCTCACCTGCTTGAGCTACGAGATATGCATAGACTCCAGTAATTCGAACCCCATTTACTCGCCTCTTACAATCACGCAGGGATAAACGGTGGCTGCAATTCTGATGCTGTTACCCTTAGAGGCAACTCCTCAGCCACGAGGGGAGGCATAAATCTATGCCATCAGGATCATGGAAGCTCCATATTGCCTACTGAAAATGTATCTATATAGCTGCAGCATTTTTTTTTTTTGTACTTTGGGAATGGTGCCAGTACCAGACTGATTGGGAAAAAATGTGTTATTTTGGCTTAAATTGGGAATTTTTTTTATGCATATTTTCTGCTACAAATAAGATTAGTCATCATGAATAAAGATAGCTAACAGCTTCCACTGTTCAGGTAGAACTATTGAGTGATGATTTGTATGATTATGTTGGATTTAGATATTTCAGAGAAATCACTTGGCCTTGTGGAAATTTTGAACAGCCATTTTGGGAATTTAAACATTGGAAATTGGGAATTTTAATGTCTATTTTTCTATTGGGAACAGTACTGTTTTAGGGTAGTAGTTATATAAAGTAAAAAAACACAGAGCTGTCAAGTTCTCTAAGAATTCTTAGAAAATTAATGTGCTGCTTTAACAACCTACATGTTTAGTTTTCCACTGTTGATTGACAGGCTCCTTGAAGCCGTTCAGTAAATGGGGCGTTTCTATGAAATTATCACCAGAAAAGTTCTGCCTCGCACTGGAATATTCTTTCCCATCTCCTGACCCAGTCAGCTGAAAAAATATAAAATACAATTTAAATTGCGTTATTTATGTATCACTAATTTATCACATAAACCACAGCGCAGGAGTGTTATAAAGCTATTCTGTTAAAAATGATATTACATTAGTGTAATAACACTTTGACGTGACATCATTTGTGCTATATATAAACATAGCGTTAAAGCGCGCCGCTAATGTTAGCCTTACACTATAGGCATGTCAATGAAAAATGACTCTTTTTTAACAGTTTACCGGTCTTATTTTAAATATGTGATAAATAGAATATTATATTTGTGTAGTAGATACTATATTTATTGAACTCTGTGAATAAAACAATATTAGGCACGCCAGAGGCTCGCATATTAAGATTTTATTCAACAAGTTCAATAAATTTAGTATTAAACCTACACTCATTCAATATCCTCTATATAAAACTGGCACCACATCATCTTTTACTGAAGGGGGCCTCCGTGGCTGAGTGGTTAAGGTCGCTGACTTGAGATCACAGGTCCCTCACCGCTGTAGGTTCGATCCTCACTAGGGTTGAAATCTTCTATGTGAGGAAGCCATCCAGCTGGCTTACGGAAGGTCGGTGGTTCTACCCAGGTTCCCGCTCGTGCCTGAAATTCCAGGAGGGGCACCTGGGGTCTTCCTCCACCAATAACAGCTGGAAAAAAATCGACGAAAAAATCTCGGCGGGACGCTCTAGGATGTCCCGACTTGAGTGTACGGTCGCCCATATGGGCTTTCCGGCGGCGACCTAATATAAACGCATTAAAAAAAAAAATCTATTACTGAGGTCCTCTAGGCAGCAGGTCAATCAGAAATCCCATTATGCATTATGAAGCTATGACCTGCAGGGCTTAACTCGGTTAAGAGGAAGTTTTGGGGGTAATTTACTCCTTGACTAAATTTCGCTTGTGACTTCCAAAATGTAATGCATTTCTGTCTGCCTTTGTTAACTCCTGGTTCTGGTGAAGTATGACATTGTGCACAGAGCATGTAAAGGGGAAAATATAGCATTTTGATGGGGAAATATAGCATTTTTGGGGGAAAATATAGCAATTTTAGGGAAAAATTAATAGCAATTGTGGGGGGGGGGAATATAGTATTTTTAGGGGAAAATATAACATTTTTATGGGAAAAGGTATATTAGCATTTTTAGGGGGAAAAAAAGCATTTTTAGGGGACAATATACCGGGTAGCATATTTAGGGGAAAATAAGGCATTTTTAGGGGAAATTATAGCTATTTATAAGGGAAAATATCAGCATTTTTTTTTTTTTGGGGGGGGGGGGGGGGAAATATACTTATTTTGGGCTAGGGAAAATTATTTCTTTTTAGCCTTTATTTGGGCTGTAAAATATATGGAGGAAAAAAAAATAAAAACCTGCACTGGCTGAACTTTGATATCAATACGGGTGTCAAAATTATTTGACTAAATGTTTAATACTATTTTAGCAATAAATTAAAAAAAAAATCTCCATATTAAAGTTTGCTGGTATTTTAACTTCCTGGTTATATATTACATTTCTGATGGGTTGATTAATATCGGTTTTACAGTACATGGCCACTATTTTGAAGATAAAATATTCGGGTATTTTGGAAATATACAATAGTGTTTGTATAAGTGTATGTTACAATATCAGTCTCGAGGTTTTAAAGTGGATTTGTCTACAATTGTCAAGTATTTAAATATCGATTAAAAACAATTGAAAAAAACAAGTATCAATTGTATTAATTGTTTATCAAAATATTTCTTGAAAACAATAATCGTTGACAGAGTTGATAATGATTTACTATGGAACATTTATACATTTGAGCCGCGTCATGACAAAAAAACCAACATAATGGATTTGCGACCAGCATGGATCCAGACCAGCCTGCCGCATCCGCGCAGTCTGATTCAGGATTCATGCTGTTCGCTCCGGCACCAAGTCTATTACAAGTAGAGAAACTGATAAGCGAACAGCATGGATCCTGATTCAGACCTGAGACGGTATGCGCAGGCTGTCTAGATCCCATGCTGATTCTAACAAACTCCATTATGTTGGTTTTGTCATGATGCGGCTCATTTATACATTTATATTATTAGTTATCAAGATTGTTGACATGATATATAGCCCTAAGTAGAGGTGGTTTTTAACACAAGGTTTCACATTAATCATTGTTATATATTCGTGAAATGTTTGAACATTTGTTCACCCATTTAACATTAATAATATACTCCTTTCAAAGATTGAGAGATTTCACCCCCATCAAAGTAGTTGACGCATGCTTACAAATTATACAAACTATCGCAATCCACTTGTTGTGATTAATATAGCACGGAGCACATTTATCACCTCCGCATCACTGGCAACTGCCAAGCAGTTAATCATACTTAGTGCCAGCACTTCCCAGAGGAACGGATATTATTTCTGTACATGCCAGAGCAGGCACAGACACCTTTTGGGACAGGGTAACCCATACCCTAAGGCAGGGGATTTTGGGTCGTTTAAGGCAAAATTCGAAATTTTATGTTATCATGTATTTTAGGTATTTTTATCACATTTACTCATTACACTATTTTTCCTACCAGTTTTTAATTTTCCGACCATTGAAATCAATAGTAGTATTAGACTAACAAATCAAACAAATTACTTTAAGTTGATCTATTTTATAATTTGGAGCGGGATTTTTTTTTGAGATAGGGGAAAAAATACATATGATTTTGATGAGGGAACGATACCCATATTCGGCCCCAAAACGACCAAACGAGTGACCTGCAGAGCATTAAGAAAGTGAAGATGGCTGTAGTAAGGATTTTGTGATCAATCAACAAACTTTAGTCACCCGCACTGGCCGGGAATCAAACTCGTCCCCTGATTCATAGTCCAATACTCTACTACTTGAGCTAACCATTAAGCAGCCCTGACAATGTCCAAATTGTAATGCAGCAAAGTAAATGTTTAAAAAAATTCAGCAAAGTAATTGTTTAACGAATTCAGATAAATAACGGTTTAACAAATTCAGCAAAGTACAGATTTAACAAATTCAGCAAAGTAAAGGTTTAACAAATTCAGCAAATTAAAGGTTTAACAAATTCAGCTAAATAACTGTTTAACAAATTCAGCAAATTAAAGGTTTAACAAATTTAGCAAAGTATTGTAAGTAAAGGCTTAACAAATTCAGCAAAGTTAAGGTTTAAAAAATTCAGCAAAAATAAAGGTTTAACAAATTCAGCAAAGTGAAGGTTTAACACATACAATTTGGCAAAATAAAGGTTTAACAAATTTAGCAAAGTATTGAAAGTAAAGGTTTAACAAATTTGACAGTATTGAAAGTAAAGGTTTAACAAATTCAGCAAAGTTAAGGTTTAACAAATTCAGCAAAGTCAAGGTTTAACAAATTCAGCAAAGTCAAGGTTTAACAAATCCAGCAAAGTAAAGGTTAAACAAATTCGGCAAAGTAAGTGTTTAACAAATTCAGCAAAGTCAAGGTTTAACAAATTCGGCAAAGTAAATATTTAAAAAATTCTCTTACCTGAGAGGTATGTATAAATCCGTTCTGATATGTACCCCCATCGAATGGCATACCGTTCGGTACGTTACCGTACGGCTGCATCATGTCACCAATGGCCGTCGGGCCCCAACCGGATGTGGGAACGTAGCCTTTACCTGGGTTGAGGAATCGGTTCGAGACACTTAATTACCTGATGGAATATAGACCCAAAACAAGAGCTGGTTGAACCGGGTGATGCTCCCCGAATAGGTTTTGGACACTTGTCACACAGGAAGGTAATTACCTCTTGTAGTGTCAGAGTTATGTCACCGACAAAGTTCAAAGTGTAAAAGCAACCCAAATGATACGCGCAACACGTCATATAGATGTGGTGATCATTTCTGTGAAATAGTTGTAAAATCCGACTTCAAATAACAAAGTTATGGGACGGATAGAATTCAAGATGTACGTACGTACAATGCCGGAAGAACTGAAAGACGGACGGACAACCCGGCGACTTTATGCTCCCCCGAAATTTTTCGGAGAGCATAAAAATGTAAAATCAGGATGTTTTGCCATGGGATTAAATTAATTGTCACTTTAGAGCAGAAACATAACAAGTGCTTTTAAATATAAAAGCAGTTAATCAGTTATTGCACTGAGGTAACTTTTTGTAATATTTTCTGGATTGAAGCTTTATAAAGAATGAGTATTTGTTATTTCTACTTATTTTTCTTTCTTAACAAAATTTTAACCTATTGTTCGAACTTTGTTTCAGTTTAAAACTAAGTAGACCAATTAAAGCCTGTCCCACAATTTTTAACATTTCATTTTTTATTAAAGCAACACGCCAAGATTCAAGTTCATTTTCATGAAAATTTTTGAAAAGTATTTAAAAGTAAAATATTGTGAGGTGAAAAATTAAAGCTAAATCACAAAATATATAGCAAGCGGCACTCACAATTACTAGAAATATATCAAAAAGTGGTCATCATATGCAAAAACAGCCCATACTGCGTTAGTAAACGCAGTAGAATTATGGTTATAAAATTCAGCCAAATCAGTCTTAAACCGCACATAACATGTAAAATGTAATTTGGATCTTGAATGTTTTTACTTTTCTTAAAATTTTAGTACATTTTTCTCAATATTGATTTTTCTTGAAATATTTTTGCTCATTTTGAGGTGTACAGCTTTAAATATAATCTTGAATTCATTTCTGTGATAAAACGTACCTGGCTGTATATGTTGGTACTGCTGCGACATATATAATGCCTGTTGTGGCGTATATTTTCCTCTATGCCTTGGTCTTACACCACCAAATCTGAAACACATATAAAAGCAAATCTATGTCTTGGTCTTACACCACCAAATCTGAAACACATATAAGAGCAAATCTATGTCTTGGTCTTACACCACCAAATCTGAAACACATAAAAGCAAATCTATGTCTTGGTCTTACACCACCAAATCTGAAACACATATAAAAGCAAATCTATGTCTCAGTCTTACACCACCAAATCTGAAACACATATAAAAGCAAATCTATGTAGCGGTCTTACACCACCAAATCTGAAACACATATGAAAACAAATGAATGACTGCCTAAACAAATGTAAACATAAACCAGGCAGTGATTTTTTTTTCTCATTTAAAAGGGAAGAGGCCTGAGGCTCTCAATTTTTAACAAAAAGGTAAGCTAAATTTAGCAACTCTCGTATCTAAATATAGAAAGTAGTATTTCTAAATAAAGTAACATACCTTGGCTCTCCAGCATTAACAAAAGGTAAGCTAATTTTAGCAACTCTCGTATCTAAATATAGAAAGTAGTATTTCTAAATAAAGTAACATACCTTGGCTCTCCAGCATTAACAAAAGGTAAGCTAAATTTAGCAACTCTAGTATCTAAATATAGAAAGTAGTATTTCTAAATAAAGTAACATACCTTGGCTCTCCAGCATTAACAAAAGGTAAGCTAAATTTAGCAACTCTGTATCTAAATATAGAAAGTAGTATTTCTAAATAAAGTAACATACCTTGGCTCTCCAGCATTAACAAAAGGTAAGCTAAATTTAGCAACTCTTGTATCTAAATATAGAAAGTAGTATTTCTAAATAAAGTAACATACCTTGGCTCTCCAGCATTAACAAAAGGTAAGCTAAATTTAGCAACTCTCGTATCTAAATATAGAAAGTAGTATTTCTAAATAAAGTAACATACCTTGGCTCTCCAGCATTAACAAAAGGTAAGCTAATTTTAGCAACTCTCGTATCTAAATATAGAAAGTAGTATTTCTAAATAAAGTAACATACCTTGGCTCTCCAGCATTAACAAAAGGTAAGCTAAATTTAGCAACTCTCGTATCTAAATATAGAAAGTAGTATTTCTAAATAAAGTAACATACCTTGGCTCTCCAGCATTAACAAAAGGTAAGCTAAATTTAGCAACTCTAGTATCTAAATATAGAAAGTAGTATTTCTAAATAAAGTAACATACCTTGGCTCTCCAGCATTAACAAAAGGTAAGCTAAATTTAGCAACTCTTGTATCTAAATATAGAAAGTAGTATTTCTAAATAAAGTAACATACCTTGGCTCTCCAGCATTAACAAAAGGTAAGCTAAATTTAGCAACTCTCATATCTAAATATAGAAAGTAGTATTTCTAAATAAAGTAACATACCTTGGCTCGCTCCAGCATTAACAAAAGGTAAGCTAAATTTAGCAACTCTCGTATCTAAATATAGAAAGTAGTATTTCTAAATAAAGTAACTTACCTTGGCTCTCCAGCATTAACAAAAGGTAAGCTAAATTTAGCAACTCTCGTATCTAAATATAGAAAGTAGTATTTCTAAATAAAGTAACATACCTTGGCTCTCCGGCATTAACAAAAGGTAAGCTAATTTTAGCAACTCTAGTATCTAAATATAGAAAGTAGTATTTCTAAATAAAGTAACATACCTTGGCTCTCCAGCATTAACAAAAGGTAAGCTAAATTTAGCAACTCTCGTATCTAAATATAGAAAGTTGTATTTCTAAATAAAGTAACTTACCTTGGCTCTCCGGCATTAACAAAAGGTAAGCTAAATTTAGCAACTCTCGTATCTAAATATAGAAAGTAGTATTTCTAAATAAAGTAACATACCATGGCTCTCCGGCATTAACAAAAGGTAAGCTAAATTTAGCAACTCTCGTATCTAAATATAGAAAGTAGTATTTGTAAATAAAGTAACATACCATGGCTCTCCAGCATTAACAAAAGGTAAGCTAAATTTAGCAACTCTCGTATCTAAATATAGAAAGTAGTATTTCTAAATAAAGTAACATACCTTGGCTCTCCGGCATTAACAAAAGGTAAGCTAATTTTAGCAACTCTCGTATCTAAATATAGAAAGTAGTATTTCTAAATAAACTAACTTACCTTGGCTCTCCAGCATTAACAAAAGGTAAGCTAATTTTAGCAACTCTCGTATCTAAATATAGAAAGTAGTATTTCTAAATAAAGTAACATACCTTGGCTCTCCAGCATTAACAAAAGGTAAGCTAATTTTAGCAACTCTCGTATCTAAATATAGAAAGTAGTATTTCTAAATAAAGTAACATACCTTGGCTCTCCGGCATTAACAAAAGGTAAGCTAAATTTAGCAACTCTTGTATATTAATATAGAAAGTAGTATTTCTAAATAAAGTAACATACCTTGGCTCTCCGGCATTAACAAAAGGTAAGCTAAATTTAGCAACTCTTGTATCTAAATATAGAAAGTAGTATTTCTAAATAAAGTAACATACCTTGGCTCTCCAGCATTAACAAAAGGTAAGCTAAATTTAGCAACTCTCGTATCTAAATATAGAAAGTAGTATTTCTAAATAAAGTAACATACCTTGGCTCCCCAGCATTAACAAAAGGATAGCATGTGGTAATATAACTAGGTAACCCGTTCACACCGGACTGATCTTTTCCGGGTCCAGGACCCAACAAGCCGTCTGTTAATGGACCTGATATACTAGGCATGCCGGAGAATTGCCGTGGAACAAATTCTTTTGCCTCCGGAGACAGCATGTTTGACAAACTCTCCTTAAATTGAAAGAATGAACAATATCTAAATAAGTACACAAGCTCTCCTTAAATTAATAGAATGAACAATATCTAAATACTGTTAAATTCCTATAAAACGCCCCTGGGGGCTAAACATTTTCCAAATGGGGGGGCTATTATTACAACACAGTTTTTCCTAAATCCAAAAATCACTGTAAATACATTTAGTGTTAGCAAGTGTTGGTAATAACATTAAAAAGTGTTAAGGCTTTAAAGTTCATTATACAGTATACATATTTGTGTTTACTATAAAATAACAAGAGCGATCAGTAATCACATGTGTCGCCTCATGATGGCCAATTTCATGTTGGGACAAATTTTGTGACAGACTGACAGACAGACGGACAGTGCACAACTAGACTTTGTACTGATCATTCCTGTGAAGTTTGGATAAAATTGCACCAGTAGTTTATGAGGAGTAGTCCGGACAAGCTTTTGCGTATCTGGCAACACACAGAAAAAAACACCTTTTTATCAAAGGGCCATAACTCGGCCAAAAATCATTCAACCGGAAAACCCGTGCAATATGCGCAAGGACTTGAGCTACAGATCAATCCTGTAAAGTTTCATTGAAATTGCATTAGTGGTATAAGAGAAGTAGTCTGGACAAACTTTAAAAATAAAAATTATTAAAGGGCCATAACTCAAACAAAAATCATTGAACCGGAAAATGCTAACAATATGCACAACTAGACTTGGTACTGATCATTCCTGTAAAGTTTGGATGAAATTGCACCAGTAGTTTATGAGGAATAGTCCGGACAAGTTTTGTGACGGACGGACGGACAGACAGACAGACAACGGAGAAGTGATCCCTATATGTCGCCACTACTCCGTAGAGGCGACACAAAAATGGATTCTGAATGATTTGAATAATATTATGTTTTTAATTATGAGTTTAGCACTGATGAGTAGATTGTTTTCCTTATCAAAAGGCCGGGGGGCCTTTATTAGGGGATGGCGTTTATTAGGAATTTTACAGTAAGTACACAAACTCATGAAGTGAACTGAAATCATTTAAAGATCTTCTAACTAAATTTTTTTTATGTTTTATATCATAAATATAATTCTCAAATGAAGATTTATCAATATTGTAAGTTCCAATAAGCATTATTTGTAAATATATTACCGAATTTACATTTCATGTTAATAACGGGAGGTACATGTAATTAGAAATTTATTTTCTATAAAGTCCAAGTCAAACTTTTCAGTAAGAAATGAATGCATATATTTTGATGATTACATAATTATAATGTGGACAAATATCTGCAGTACATATTTTACATATTCTTTGATGTTTGAAAATTGTTTTAGTACCATAAATTATAATATACAAACAATAAAATTTCACTTAAGTGCGGTAACAACCTTAACATACAGGATCTTAAAACAGATATGAAAGTTAATGACAGACAAGTAATTCTATGTATTTAATTATCGATCTATTGGTGTACTGTTGATATTTGTCATCTGATATTGATATATCGTTGATACAATATATGCTTTGCACTGAAATAAAGACAGCTCTAAAAAATTGTCAATTGAGAAAGGTGTATCGTTGATACATATTTATGTCATCCGATATCGATATATCATTGAAACAATCTGATATTGATATATCATTGAAACAATTTGATATTGATATATCATTGAAACAATCCGATATTGATATATCATTGAAACAATCTGATATCGATATATCATTGAAACAATCCGATATTGATATATCATTGAAACAATCCGATATTGATATATCATTGAAACAATCCGATATTGATATATCATTGAAACAATCCGATATTGATATATCATTGAAACAATACGATATTATTATATCATTGAAACAATCTGATATTGATATATCATTGAAACAATCCGAATTGATATATCATTGAAACAATCTGATATTGATATATCATTGAAACAATCCAATATATATATATTATTAAAACAATCCGATATTGATATATCATTGAAACAATCCGATATTGATAAATCATTGAAACAATGAGGTATGCTTTGCACTGAAACAATTAAAGCTCTAACAAAATGATAAGAATGCATGCAGCAAAAATTCCAACTAGTCTACATTTCGGGTGTTGTATCAAAAAATCAAATACCCAATAACAATTAATCAAAATTCACATGTTGTTGTTGATTATTCTATCCTTAACAATGTAATCAATCAAGTAAAAGAAATTCATGTGACTTCAAAAGATATCAATAGAAGCTCGGGCTTTTCCTCTAGCTATTTTGGGAAAAAGGATTTAGTCCAATTTGGGAAATTTTGCTTTGTAAGACAGGGATTTTTTTTGGCTTATTTTATAGCCATTATTGGGTCATATTCCCAAATGAAAATAGGATATTATTTTCCCAATTCACAGGGAAAAAATTCCAATTGAAAGTTAAATTATAACAAGAACTGTCGGAGGACAGTAACGCTCGACTATTCGAAAATTTGTCACAAGGGTGTTTCATTGAGTATAATAATGCTTACCTATATGAATACATAAAATTGTCCGAAAAGGTACAAACTCTTCAAGTTTCAATACATTCCCTTCAGTAGTTATGGAGAGACAAGCTTACATGCAAAAACTTAACCAAGAATTCATGAGTCGAAAAAGGGGCATAATTATGCAAAAAAAGCAAATCAGAGTTATGGGACTTGTACCAATCATCTTAGATAATCACAGAGACCAAGTGTGTGAAGTTTCAATCCATTCCCTTCAGTAGTTATGGAGATACCAGCTTACATGCAAAAACTTAACCAAGAATTTCTAAGTCGAAACAGGGGCATAATTATGTTAAAAAGCAAATCAGAGTTATGGGACTTGTGCCAATCATCTAAGATAATCACAGAGAACAAGTGTGTGAAGTTTCAATCCATTCCCTTCAGTAGTTATGGAGATACCAGCTTACATGCAAAAACTTAACCAAGAATTTCTAAGTCGAAAAAGGGGCATAATTATGTAAACTAGAAATGTGTCCATAGGACACGGGTGCCCCCACCGCGCCACTGTTATCTCAATCTTTTTACTAAGTCAAGGGAAATAACTCTACAAATATTTGATAAATCCACAAGCAAAACCCCAGGTGCAAATTTAAAATATGCTGAGCAACCTGCCCTTAAGGTTTAATGACTATGTCAAATCCAAGTTGAAAAATTGCAAAAAATTTCTAAGTGAAGGGCAATAACTCTAAAAATACTAAATAAATCCAGACGAAAATACCTGGTGCACAACTGCACATGCTGATCAATATTTCTGTAACGTTACATGACTCTAGGTCAAATACTTACGTGCGACACATGTTGAAAATTGCGAAATTTTACTAAGTCAAGGGCAATAACTCTGAAAATACTAAAAATATCCACACGAAAATACCCAGGTGCACAACTACATATGCTGATCAACATTCCTGTAAAGTTTCATGACTTTAGGTCAAATTCTTTTTGAGTTACGTGCGACACAAGTTGAAAATTGCAAAATTTTACTAAGTCTAGGGCAATAACTCTGAAAATACTAAAAATATCCACATGAAAATACCCAGGTGCACAACTACACATGCTGATCAACATTCCTGTAAAGTTTCATGACTCTAGGACAAATATTTTTTGAGTTACATGCGACACAAGTTGAAAATTGCAAAATTTTTACTAAGTCAAGGGCAATAACTCTGAAAATACTAAAAATATCCAGACGAAAATACCCAGGTGCACAACTACACATGCTGATCAACATTCCTGTAAAGTTTCGTGACTCTAGGTCAAATTCTTTTTGAGTTACGTGCGACACAAGTTGAAAATTGCAAAATTTTACTAAGTCAAGGGCAATAACTCTGAAAATACTAAAAATATCCACATGAAAATACCCAGGTGCACAACTACACATGCTGATCAACATTCCTGTAAAGTTTCATGACTCTAGGTCAAAAACTTTTTGAGTTACATGCGACACAAGTTGAAAATTGCAAAATTTTACTAAGTCAAGGGCAATAACTCTGAAAATACTAAAAATGTCCAGACGAAAATACCCAGGTGCACAACTACACATGCTGATCAACATTCCTGTCAAGTTTCATGACTCTAGGTCAAATACTTTTTGAGTTACGTGCGACACAAAAGTGAACGGACGGACGGACGGAAGGACGGACGGAAGGACGGACGGACAGACGGACGGACGGACGGACAAGGGTAAATCTAAATGCCCGCCACTAACGTGGGGGCACAAAAAGCAAATCAGAGTTATGGGACTTGTGGCAATTATCTTAGATAATCACAGAGAACAAGTGTGTGAAGTTTCAATCCATTCCCTTCAGTAGTTATGGAGATACCAGCTTACATGCAAAAACTTAACCAAGAATTTCTAAGTCGAAAAAGGGGCATAATTATGCAAAAAAGCAAATCAGAGTTATGGGACTTGTGCCAATCATCTTAGATAATCACAGAGAACAAGTGTGTGAAGTTTCAATCCATTCCCTTCAGTAGTTATGGAGATAACAGCTTACATACAAAAACTTAACCAAGAATTTCTAAGTCGAAAAAGGGGCATAATTATGAAAAAAAGCAAATCAGAGTTATGGGACTTGTGCCAATCATCTTAGATAATCACAGAGAACAAGTGTGTGAAGTTTCAATACATTCCCTTCAGTAGTTATGGAGATACCAGCTTACATACAAAAACTTAACCAAGAATTTCTAAGTCGAAAAAGGGGCATAATTATAAAAAAAAGCAAATCAGAGTTATGGGACTTGTGCCAATCATCTTAGATAATCACAGAGAACAAGTGTGTGAAGTTTCAATCCATTCCCTTCAGTAGTTATGGAGATAACAGCTTACATACAAAAACTTAACCAAGAATTTCTAAGTCGAAAAAGGGGCATAATTATGAAAAAAAGCAAATCAGAGTTATGGGACTTGTGCCAATCATCTTAGATAATCACAGAGAACAAGTGTGTGAAGTTTCAATCCATTCCCTTC